CGGCCTCGTTCGTCTCCTTTGACGACGAGCAGTCGATCGCCATCAAGGCGGCGTACGCAAAGGAGAAGGGTTTCGCCGGGATGATGTGGTGGGAGGCATCCGACGACAAGGACGCGGACCTGCTCTCCGCCGCGAACAGCGCGTGGGCCGCGGGGGGCGGAGGAGGCGGAGGAGGCGGCGGAGGAGGCGGAGGAGGCGGTGGCGCGACCTCGCCACCGCCCTCGCCGCCGCCGCCGCCCTCGCCGCCGCCGCCGCCCTCGCCTCCGCCGCCGCCCTCGCCTCCGCCGCCGCCGCCCTCGCCACCGCCCGGCGCTATTTCCGACCCTCCTCCGCCGTCGCCGTCGCCACCCCCGCCACCTTCGCCACCACCGGGCAACGGCGGCGGGCAGTGCGTTGACATGCCGCTGACCGAAGGTTGGTCCTCGACCTCCTGCGCCGCGCTTGGCGCGTCGAGCTGCCCCGGGTGGCCCTTTGAAACGATGTGCGGCTACTGCGCCCACAGCATCATCGGCACCGCTTGCTGCCGGTGCGGTGGTGGGAGCGGTGGAGGCGGCGGCGGTGGAGGCGGCGGCGGTGGAGGCGGCGGCGGTGGAGGTGGCGGAGGTGCGACTTCCCCGTCGCCGTCGCCGCCCCCGCCGCCATCGCCATCGCCGCCGCCGGCGGGCACAGGGGGGCAGTGCGTGTCGACCGGATTTCATTCCGGCTATACCGACGCTTGGTGTGACCGCAACTGCAACTGGACGCCCTCCTTCTGCCCCGCTCAATACTGCACCCAGGACTGCCTCGGCGGGAGCGGCCGTCGCCGCCTCGCCGAATCCGCGCCCGCCCCCTGGAGCAGCAACGCGCGCGCCGCCGTCGCAGCCCCGCTGGCGCTCGCCGCCGTGGCTGGGCTCGCCGTCTACGGCCGGCGCCACCGGGCGAGCCAGGCGAGCAACCTTGCCGACATCGAGAGCTGCGCTGAAGAGGCGTGAACCGGTGAACGCCGTCAACCTGCCATCAACTTGCCGTCGACCTCCTCTCCGTGCCACGGGGCGCGATCTGCGATCTCTGGCTCGCGCGCGCTCAGACTCTCGCTGAGGCTTGCTCTCTCACAGCCCTGTTCCCCGGCTGTCTCCGCCCCCAACTTGTCGCTATAGTCTTCATGCGTTGTGCGTAGCGCCTCTGACGCTCGCAGCGCTGAACCTGATTTGTGATAGACATCAACTGGTTGATATACGTCAGTAGACAGTAAGTACTCTGTACTGCATGCATGTGTCGAGTATGTTTTTAATGTCGTACGTGTTTAAATTAGTCCGCCCAGCCCCAGGCACGCCGCAAGGCCAGGGGGGAGGGGATCCAGCCCCAGTTGGTGGCGGGGAGCGGCGATGGGAAGGGCTGGATTCGGGACAAGGACTGGGTGGGGTATCGGTCTCTCCTTTAATGAAAAGAGGGAGTGCGATTACTGACGTACGAACGTACCGGGAACCAACGGCGGTGTCGCAGGAGCTGCGCAGGACGCGCTCCCTGTACTCGGCGCGCTGCGCTGTCACACTGGTCACTGCTCCGGTACTCGATCGGGCGTTCTCAGCTCTCCGCGACGCGGAGCGCGCGCATCGCGCCCTTCAGCTCCGACACTTGGTCGAGCGCGTCGCAGAGCAGCCCCTTGGCCACGCCAAAGTCGCGCAGCTGCTCCACGCCGCCGCTCGCCCGCACCTCGGCGGCGTGGTCGGCCACGAAGCGGCGGCACTGCGCGAGGAGCCGCCCGTCGCCCATCGTGTGCGCCGCCTCGAGCAGCGGCACGGCGGTCGCCGGCGCGACGCTCTCCTGCAGCGCCTGCGCGCAGAGCAGCTCGAGGCGCGGCACCTGGTACATCTGCGCCAGCTCCCGCAGGTCGAGCGCGCGCTGTACCCTGCCCTCCTCCTCGCCGAGGTCGAACTGGTCGGTGAGGAGATAGCGGACAAGGGCAGTGAAGCTGGCGCGGTCGGTGTGGGACACCGTGACCTCGGCGGCGTCGCGCTCCTTCATGCCGATGCCGAACATGGTCCGAAAGACCGGGGACCGGGCGCAGAGGTTGTTCTTGCTCACGTGCTCGATGCGCTCCTCGTCTTCGCCGACCAGGAAGGTGACCTTCCCCTCTGGGAGGGTGGCGTCGCCCCACGTCTTCGCCATGTCGGCGGAGAAGGTGGAGGGCGGAACGACGATCGGGGCAAAGGAGGGAGGCGGAGGAGGCGCCGCCAGGCAGACCTGGCGGAGGCCACCGCTCGAACCGACCAACAGCGTGCTGCCGTCCGGGCTGAGGGCGACTTCAGTTGGGCCTACGAACTCCGCCGCATTGCCCACGCCATCGGCGCTGCCCTGTATGCCGCTGCCCGCGACCGTCGTCACCTCTCCAGTCGCCACCTCCACCCGCCGGATCTTGTGGTTGCTGCCGTCCGCCACAAACAGCGCGCTGCTGTCTGGGCTGATGGCGATGCCAGCCGGGTTGTAGAACTGCGCCACGTCGCCCACGCCATCAGCGCTGCCGCCAGTGCCACTGCCCGCAAGCGTGGTCACCGCGCCTGTCGCCACCTCAACCCGCCGGATCTTGTCGCTGCCTTGGTCCACCACAAACAACGCGCCGCCGTCTGGGCTGATGGCAATGCCGGCTGGGCCGCAGAACTCCGCCGCGTCGCCCACGCCACCGGCGCTGCCCGTGGTGCCGCTGCCCGCGATCGTCGTCACCTCGCCAGTCGCCACCGCAACCCGCCGGATTTTGTTGTTGTTATAGTCCGCCACGAACAACGCGCTCCCGTCTGGGCTGATGGCGATGCCAGCTGGGCAGCAGAACTGCGCCGCGTCGCCCACGCCATCCGCGTCGCCGCCCTCGTCGCCGCTTCCTGCAAGCGTGGTCACCTCGCCCGTCGCCAACTCCACCCGCCGGATCTTGTGGTTCTCATGGTCGGCCACAAACAGCGCGCTCCCGTCCGGGCTGGCGGCAACGGTGTAGTATTCGACACTTGCCGGCAAGGCTGCTACGCGGCGCACGCGCCCGGCCGCCGAGACGTGCATCAGAGAGTTCTTGGTCGCGACGTACCAGGCGCCTGCGTGGTCGCTCGCGACGCCAACCGGACCGAACGATGCCAAAAGCCCGTCCTCGCCCTCGAGCGCCAGCGTGGAGACCTGGCCGACGATGCGCGCGCCAAAGATGGGCGCCTCGAAGGCAGCCGCCACCGGCACGGGCTCCTCGACCTCCTCGCCGCCGCCGGCGGTGCGGGCGCGCTTCGTTTTCGCGGAAGCCATCATAGTTGGATTCGGGACACGGTCTGGGTCGGTAAGTGAAACGGGGCCTGGGCTCGCGGAACTCTGTTCACACCGAGCAGCTGTGGAAGCGGCTGCGGCTTCGGCTGGTCGCATGTCACGCACTCTTCACATAAACGCACGCACTCTTCACAGCCTTGTTATTGAGAACTTCACCGGCACCAACGAGCTGGTCGATGCTTCCGGGTGGGGCATTGAGACCGGTCATGAATGAGTGCGCGACACGCATGTTGCGAGCAGCGTTGTTGATGTTTTGCGCGTCGCCACAGGCGGCGCGCGAGAGCTGTTGCGAGTGGTGCTGGGCGAAGCCCCGGGCGCTGCCGGAGGCTGTGCCGTAGTCGGTGCGGTCGACGGCGCTCGGGCTGCCGACCTCTTTGGCGAATTTGAAGATGATTCTCTTGGTTGGCGGCGCGATGCCGCCCTGGCTTTCGACGAGACAAATTTTGACGATTCCGTTCTTGCCATGGAGCGCGTCGTAGTACTGTCCCTGGGAGGTGGCCGGTCCCGCTATGGATATGTAAGAGCCACTAATGCAATTGTTGGCCACCTTATGCACATCCATGCCCACGGTTCGTAGGACGTCGCTGAGACGTCGTGTATTTTGGTGCCGTGTCAAGCCGGGTGGCGGCTCAGTGATGCGTCACGCATACGCCTCGCTTCACGCGTACAGACAGAAAGCCCGATCGATGATTTCAGATGTGCTGCGTATTATGCGCACGTCTTCTGCACCGATCGTTACCACCGACCTTCTGGCCGCTACGCACCACGCACCACGCATCTGTTTTGTGTAAGCTTTGCCAGAGAGGCTCTCTCGGGCCGCTACGCACGGTGTATTACGCACACGTCTTACGCAGTGGGATCGTAAATCGGGGCTGGGTGGGCCTATGACCGACGCATTACGCACATGCACTACGCTCTCGACCGTGAACGGCGGCGGAGAGGGGATTACGCCTCATGTATTACGCACACGTCTGATGCATCGCTCGCCATGGGTGTCCGGGGGAGCTTACGTCCCACGTATTACGCACACGCACGACGGATTTGACTGAGAAGTGGCGGCCAGCAAGGGTTACGCCTCACGTATTACGCATACGTCTGACGCATCGGTCGCCATGGGTGTCGGGGGGAGCTTACGTCCCATGTATTACGCACACGCACGACGGATTTGACTGAGAAGTGGCGGCCAGCAAGGGTTACGCGTCACGTATTATGCATACGTCTGACGCATCCGCCCCACCTAACCCCTAACCCCTAACCCCTATAACCCTTAACCCCTAACCCCTAACCCCTAACCCCTAACCCCTAACCCCCACCCCCCTAACCCCCTAACCCCTAACCCCTAACCCCTAACCCCTAACCCCTAACCCCTAACCCTCTACCCCCCTAACCCCTAACCCTAAACTTCGCGCTGCCGCTAGGGCTGCCATAAGTTGGCGCTGCCGCTCGGGCTGCCATAAGCTGGCTAGGGTTGTATGTGCGCTGGTAACAACAGACTCGGGCATAGCCCTCGACAGCCACCCCCTAACCCCCCCACACCCCCCCCCTTTATGTGCGCGCACTGGCGCTGCCGCTCGGGCTGCCATAAGTCGGCTAGGGTTGTATGTGCGCTGGTAACAACAGACTCGGGCATAGCCCTCGACAGCCACCCCCTAACAACCCCACCCCCCCCCTTTATGTGCGCGCACTGGCGCTGCCGCTAGGGCTGCCATAAGTTGGCGCTGCCGCTAGGGCTGCTGCATAATCATGAGCCTGTCTCCAAACACCTCTCCGACGCGCTCGACTATAGTCCAAATTGGACGATGGACTATATGTCGGGTTGGCGGCCATTTGCTCAGGTGTCAGAATGCTGAGCTCGTACACTGGCAGCTCCGCAGAGGTTGAGGACGGCGGCGGCGGCGGTGGCGGCGCGGTGAGATCGCTGGTGTCCCTGCCCGCCTCCCTGCGGGCGTAGAAGAGCGCCGCCTCCTCGGCGGTGGCGAAGAGGCCGAGGCGGACTTGCTTGCAGCCGTCCCTCACCTTCAGCTCGTACTTCTGGCTGCCTTGATGCTTCTGGCGGTAGCAGACGCCTTTGTAGCCGGTGTTGCTGCTGCTACTGGCGGTGAGGGTGAGGCCCTCCCTCTCCGCCTGCCGTATCGCCTCGGCGCCAGCGGGAGTGGGAGCGGGGCGGGGCTGCAGCAGCTTGGCGGCGTCGGCGCGGCCGTACTCTGACTGAGCGTAGGCGGTGGCCGCCTCTTCGGCGGTGTCGAAGGAGCCGAGGCGGACACACTTGCCGCCATCCTGCACCTGCGCCTGGAACTTGTTTTTGCTGCGCTTGTAGGACACGTTCTTGTAGCCAGTCGTGCTGTTCTTGGTGGCTGGGATCAGCATAACGCCCTCTGACGACGCGGTCCGAGGCGGGGCCATCATGCAGCGGACGCACGTAGAATTTCGCGAGTTTAACAATTGGGATTCGATTTGGATTGTACAAGGCAGCGCGGGAGCCTGAAATCATTGGCCAGGCAATCGTCTCGCGGGCGTTTTGGCGAGTGCAGAAACATAATGCGTATACGTAGTGCGTCAGCGCCTCCAGGCTGTGGCGCCAGGAGGGGGTACGTATGCGGATACATGATACGTCATGCGGAACGCGGTCGTCGATGGGCCTGAATGGGTAAAATTATGCTGCGTAAGTGCGGGGCAGGGCCAACATTGAAGTATTCTGTGCTGTTTTCGAAGGAAAATATGCGCTGCGAGCAGGTCCGGGTTGAGGGCCGGCCTTCATATCTGCTGTATTTTGATAACTGCGCCTGTCTACGCACCAGGTTACGCACCCGAAACCAGAGCATAAGGCGATGCGTATTCATTTTGTGGGTTGGGCATATCCATAGCGGGACCGGCCACGATTGCTGTCCCTTGTGCTCTTTGACCCAGCCTTTGCCGGTCGCATGGACGTGCGGGCCCTGTGACTTGTGGCCGCGCTCTTTGCACCCAAGAACCTTGAGCAAGGTTTGGTCGATGGTGCCGCCGAAACCAAATTTGTGGCCCAGTGACGCACAGCATCCGCCGTGTGCCGCCAAGCCCTGCCCAGCCTGCCTGCCCTCGTCTTTGTGAGGGTGCTGGGAACCTTGACTTCGTTCTGGACATCGAGCTGGGACTGCAGGTTCCCGCCGATCTCACACATGTCGGTGACGTGCCCCTCGTTGAGATGAAAAGTCGTCTGAGGGTTCGCCTTGTCACCGAGCACGAGCTTGCCGCAGGCTCGTGCACGGACCATGTTGGCCGCCGCATACATGGTGCCGTTGTGACGAATGTTGTGGGCCTTGTGCTCGCACGGAATGTCCTTCGATCCGTTTGCAAGCTGGTCGCCCTTCCGCATACCGATGGTGACTGTCTCACCAGCCGCCTCCTTGGCGTCGTACACGTACTTGGCGCTGGAAATGTAGTAGCCGTGGCGGCGCTGTGGCCCGGGACCCCCGGGTTTTGGGCAAAAACCTCCGAGGTGATTTTGGAGGAGTGCCGGCCGTCGGGGCAGAGGTCGAGCCACGCTCCCGAGGCGAACTGAGAGACGGCGATGAAGCGTGTCGCCTCCCGATGTTTGACGCCGTCCGGGTCGTCCATCTCAGCATCCAGCCGCTCGCAGGCGGCGAGGCAGCGAAGCCACCGCTCGTGCGACGCAATCTGAGCGAGCGAGCGTGCCCTGTTTAGGGACTGGGGAAGTGCTCTGCTCAGAGTAGAGGTCGGAGACGGGCGGCATCTTGCTAACGAGCGGGAGGCCGGACGGACGTAGTACCCATTCACAGCGGGTCGGCTATACTCGACTATACCAGACAGAAGGGCGCCGGTACCACACCGCCATAGAGTTTGAACCTTGACCACTTGTCGGCCCGCCGACTTTGTTCCTCCTCGATGTCCTCCTCGATGTCTTCCTCCTGGATGTCGGAGCCGAGCGACGCTCGGGCAGCCGCTGCCCGCGCGCTTGCCGCCCAGCACATCGCGAATGCAGTCAAGGACCGAATGTCGGCTTTGTCCGAGGGCAGTGCTGTGCGGCGCCAGGGCGGTGTTGCCGAGGGCCCAAAGCCGCCGCCGCCGCCCCCCCCGCCGCCGCCGCCGCCCACAAAGGCAAAGAGCAGCTGGGCCAGGCCACCGCCTCAGCCCTCCAAAGCCAACAGCCTTCCAGCCAAGGTCGCCGCCCAACGCATGGCGAGCATCGACGATGTCCTCGCCCGATACCCCCAGTGGCACAGCATCGACTCGTCGGCACACTCGTGGCAGCGGCGCGGCGCCGTCGGCGCGCACTTGCGGCAGCGCGTGCACGGCGACATCGACCTGTCCAAGTGCGAGCCGGCCGCCTCGATCTGGGACGTGGACTGGGCGGCGGCGACAAACTTCAAGCGGTCCGACGGCGGCCGGTCGAGCGGGGTGTACTTTGTGCTGCTGCCCGGCCAGCGCTGCGTGGTGGTCAAGCCCGACGCCGAGGTGGTGGCTGACTACTGCGGCCACCTCATCGGCTCCGCGCTGGGTGTGCGCGCGCCCGAGATGCGATGTGTGCTCACCGCGAGCGAGGAGGGGCTCGCCCTCGAGGCGGCGCTCTCGCGGCTCGACGCCGCCAAGCCGCTCAAGCAGCGCTCCTCGCCGCCCGTCGCGGCCGTGCTGGCCGCGGTCCCGACCTGCCTTGTGATGGAGTTCGTGCCCGGCGTCTCGCTGAAGGGGCTTCTAGGAACCTTCTAGGAACCTTCTAGGAACCTTCTAGGAACCTTCTAGGCGTCTCGCTGAAGGGGCTCGCCATCACCGCCCTCTTCGACCCGCCCGCCGCCGCGGCGCGCTGCGAGCGCGTGTTTGGCCCTCGAGGCGAGCTCTCGCCCTCTCTCCCCATAGCTCCCCGTAGCCCCTCATGGCTCCGCGCCTGGCCACACCCTTCCTCTGCGTCGCGCGAGGCGCGCCACGTACCACACCTCCAGAGTCCCGAATCCAGTGTGGGTTCAGGTCCTTGGGTGGTGTGGTAGGCGAGCTCTCGCCGTCTGGCCGCGAGCAGCTGCAGATGCTCGGGCGCACGCTCGCCTTTGACATCCTGATTCACAACTACGACCGGCTGCGCTGCCTCTGGGGCCGCGACGGCGAGGCGTGCACAGCGTCTCCTCACACCCGCCGCTGTGGATAGGCTGCCCTGCATCTGGGGCAACGACGGCAACTCTGAGAACGTGATGATCGACGCCGAGGACCGGGTCGTGGCCATCGACTCCATGATGAGCGCGTTCGACCCGCACGACCCGCGTTCGGCGCCCCTCTTTGGCGAGTACAAGCGCAAGGTGGCCGCGCTCGTGGGGGAGGTGTGTGCGCTTGAGCAATGAGACTCAGCTAGTGAAGAGCTCAGTGGCCGCCCGCGCGGGAGAGGTGTGCGCGGGAGAGGTGTGCGCGGGAGAGGTGTGCGCGGGAGAGGTGTGCGCGGGAGAGGTGTGCGCGGGGATGCCCCGAGAGGAGTCGAGAGGACCCGAGATGACCCGAGGTTCGTGGGCCGACCCGTCCAGGAACCGTCCAGGAACCGTCCAGGAACCGTCCAGGAACCGTCCAGGAACCGTCCAGGAACCGACCGATAGGTGTGCGCCTCGCCGCGCGCGCCGCATGCCGCTTTTGCCCCCCTGCGGCTGCTGCTGCTGCACGGCAGCGGCGACGAGTCCAGCGAGGTGTACTGCCCGCCCCTCGAGATCGCTCGAGATTGCTCGAGATCGCACGAGATCGCACCAGATCGCTCGAGATCGCTCGATATCGCACGAGATCGCACGAGATCGCTCCAGATCGCCACCAGATCGCTCCAGATTCGCACGAGATCGCCACCAGATCGCTCCAGATTCGCACGAGATCGCCACGAGATCGCTCCAGATCGCTCGAGATCGCTCCAGATCGCCGCTCATCTCGAGGCTGCCCGCGGGCAGGCGTACTGCCCCCCCCTCGACTACGACATTGGCGTGGCGGGCGTGCTGGAGGTGCAGCAGGGCTTCAGCGCCGCCATCGCCGACATCGCCGCCCTGCCGCCCACGGCGTTCGCCGACCTGCCCGAGCTGCTGCACCTCTTCCTCGGAGGGCCGGGCGGGGGCGACACGCGGTGCAACCCGGCCTTCGTCGGCAGCATCGCCGCCATCTTCCGACGCGCGACCGCCCCGCAGGCGCGCGCGCAGGCCAAGTTCGGGCTGCACGCGCGCGGGGCGGCCGTACGGCCGGCCTGGCCCAGCCAGATCGACTCGAGCGCCGCGCTGCGCGACGCGGGCCACGCGGCCCTGGGGCTGCGGCCCGGGGTCCGCGCAGCGGCTGTCTCGCGCGTCGAGAAGGTTGTGCTGAGCGAGCCGGAGGAGGGCGGCGGCGAGGACGCGCCCGCAGGGACGGGCTGCAGCTGCAGCTGCGTCCTGATGTAAGGGCCTTGGAGCTTGACGGCGAGTCGAGTCGTGTTACGTGTACGACACCGCATGTCACAGCGTTTGTTAGTTATTTGCTTTAGTCACCCCACAGCAAAAGCGCACTCGACCACAGTCCCGTGTGCAGAGTAGGTGAGAGTTTCCGGACCCCCCCGAAAGCCCAATGGCCAATCCCCATTTTGGCCTCCGGAGGACCCATCGGCGCACATCCACCCATCCCAAGAAGACACACAGCGCCGTGGTCGGAGGCGAGCCGCGAGCGCGAGGGGCAAAGCAAAATCACCGCACTCACGGCTCTACTCCGTCTCGCGCGTGATCGCGAAGCGCAGCACGCACGTGACAAAGTCGCGCGCCGCGATGCCGTTCGTGTTTCCTGCCGAGTCGAGATGGTGCCGCTCGTGGATCTCGTAGAGCGAGAGGACGAGGAGCGCCGCCCGCGCGCGGGCCGCCGCGGGGAAGAGCGAGTGGCTTGCCGGCGACCACGGCGCCGCCGCCCGCCGAATCAGCGCCGCCGCCTCGCCCTCGCCGCCCGCGGCGCGCCGCAGCGGCGTCGGCTCGCCCTCGCGCAAGCTTGCGCCGCTGCGCAGGAGGGAGGTGGCGCGGGCGGCGGTGAGGCTCTCAAGGTGCGCGAGCGGCGTCCAGCCGCGGCTGGCGACCAGCCAGGCGGCGAGGTCGGCGTGGCCGCGGCGGTTCGCGGCCTCCTCGGGCGTGCCGAAGGGCGTAGCGGCGCGGGAGGCGCCGTAGGAGGAGAGGAGCTTGGCGACCTCGAGGTGGCCCTTGTCGCACGCGGCGAACAGCGGCGTGACGCCGTCGTTGCGGGCTTGGCTGATCGCCGCGCCAGCCTCGAGGAGCATCTGGGCGATGTCAACGTGGGCCTTCTGGCACGCGATGTACAGCGGCGTGGCGCCATCCTGCTTGGCTTGGTCGACCGCCGCGCCAGCCTCGAGGAGCAGCCGAACGCACTCGAGTTGGCCCTGCTGGCTCGCCATGAACAGCGGCGTGGTGCCGTCATTGCGGGCTTGGTTGACCGCTGCGCCAGCGTCGCGCAGCAGCTTGGCGACCTCGAGGTGGCCCTGCCAGCACGCGATGCACAGCGGCGTGCAGCCGTCGTCCTCCTTGGCTTGGTCGACCGCCGCGCCAGCCTCGAGGAGCAGCCGGACGATCTCGAGGTGGCCCTTCTGGCACGCAACGAACAGCGGCGAGAAGCCTCCATCATCAGCTTGGCCGACCGCCGCGCCAGCGTCGCACAGCAGCCGGGCGACCTCGAGGTGGCCGAAGTGGCACGCGGCGAGCAGCGGCGTGCGGCCTTGAGCGTCTGCATGAGCCACCGCCGCGCCAGCCTCGAGAAGCAGCCGCGCGATCTCGACGTGGCCCTTTAGGGACGCGACGAGCAGCGGCGTGGCGCCGTCCTCCTCGGCTTGGTTGACCGCCGCGCTTCCCTCGAGAAGCAGCTTGGCGACCTCAAGGTGCCCCTTCTGGCACGCGATGTACAGCGGCGTGAAGCCTTCAGAATCTGCTTGGTTCACCGCGGCGCCGGCGGCGATCATCAGCCGAACGCAGTCGATCTTGCCCTCCTGGCTCGCAGCGCTCAGCGGTGTGACGCCTTCAGCGTCAGCTTGGTCGACCGCCGCGCCCGCCTCGAGAAGGAGCCTGGCGCACTCGATCTGGCCCCGAGCGCACGCGATGAGCAGCGGCGTGACGCCGTCGTCCGTGGCCTGGCCGACCGCCGCGCCCGCCTCGAGGAGCAGCCGGACGATCTCGAGGTGGCCCTCCTGGCACACCTTGAACAGCGGCGTGCAACCTTCAGCGTTCGCCTCTGATTGGTTGACCGCCGCGCCAGCCTCGACGAGCAGCCGGGGAACTAGCCGGGGCAGTCGGAGAAGGGGCAACTCCGTGCACTGACGGTCGGCCGTCAGAAACCACGCCTGCGTGGATCGCGTCACACCAATCCTCGCTACCCAACGCGGCCAAAGGACCAAAGGATATCCACGTCGAGAACCTCGAGAGGTCACACAGGTTGTAACAATAGAAATGAAGAACTCGTGTCTCTTCCTTGCCTTAGCTGGCTTCTGTGCGGCATCGCCGCTCCCCGCCATGCTCTCGGCCGTTTTCGTATCGGCTGCCGCTGGCGGAGACCGCTCCCTCTCCGCCAGCGCCGACGGCAGGCTATGGATCGCAGACTCGATACTTGACGGCCTCACCCATCACCTGCGCCCGATCGTCGCCGATGCTGTGTGCGAGGCTCCGCTGCACCACTTCTATGCCAACACCGTTCATGTAGAGCGGAGCTTCGACATCAGTGTCCACCAGCTGGGCGTGACGGGCTGCGACGTTGCAGCCTTCACCCTGCGCTGCGCACAGGGAGGAGGCATCCTCGCCACCATCGGCGGCCTGAAGGCTGCGGCCGCAGGCCGCGTACGGGTCACCCAGCAGTCATGGCCGCACGCCGACTTTGAGGCCGACTTTGCGGCTCAGATGCTAGAGACAGGCATCTCAGTGCTTTTCGACGTGTTCGTCACGCCGGAAGGCAAGGCCGCTCTGCACGTGCGCGAGGCGCATGCCGACATTTCGCTCAAAGAGATTGCGCTCGAGAATGTCCGCGGCCTCAACACGCTGTCCATGCTGCTGACCTACCTCGTCCGGCAGGCAACGGGTCTATTCACCGAGAAGCGCATCCAAAAGCACACCTCCAACCTCACCCACGTCCTCGACCACTCCTTCCCGCACCTGCCTGTCGGACGCCTCGCAGAGTGGCTCGGCCTCGGCCACGGCGGCGCCGCGCTCGGCTTGCGGCTCGGCAGCACCCTCTATGCCCCGCCAACCTGGCGGGTCGATGCGACGTGGCTCTTGAGCGAGGATCCTGGGAGGGCAGCACAGGCTGCGGCCTCCTCTTATTCCGCGGCCAACACCACCACCGCCGCCTCCGCCGCCGCCCTCATCGCCCCCACCGCCGCCTCCTCTGCTGCAACCGCCTTGCCCACCTTGCCGCCGCCCCGCCACCGCAAAGCGCACGTCGTTGGCGCCCTCTCCCTGGCCGGCGGGCTCGAGTCGCTGGCAGGCTCGCTCGAACAGCTTGGCGAGGGCGCCTCCGGCGTGCGCGCGCTGCTCGGCTGCCTGCACATGCACAAGGACAAGGCCGAGGACTCGAGCCGCTTCGCGTGTGCGCTGGACGTGGCGGCGGCGCCGCTCGACGCGCTCGCCGCCGCCGTGTCGCGGGTCGAGGAGCGGTCGGGCGTGGTGCGGGCGGCAGCCTCGCGGCTCTGGGACGCTCTCGAGGCGACGTTCGCCGGGGAGGATGCGGCGGACGGACCCAAGGAGATGGAGGACCGTGAGGCGGCCCTCGGCGTGCACGCCTGCCTCGCGGCGGCACGGGGAGGGGCGAGCAGCCCTGCCGCGGGAGAAGGGGGTGCTTCGGCCCCGCCCTTCTCGTCCACGCTGCGCTGCGTGCTCCACGCGAGGCCCGCGGCGCCGCTCCTCCACCACCTCGAGGCGCTGCTGCTGCCACCCCCGCCGGCGCTCAAAGGCGGCGCGGCGACGGCGGGCGCTCACGACGGAGGACGCGACCTTCTATCTGGATGGAGCGGCGTCGCGGCAGAGCTCGCCGAGGTGACCGGGCTGCTGAGCGCCGCCGCCGCCGTCCGCGCGTCGCCGCTGTGGCCGGAGGGCGTGGTCGTCGATGTGGACGACGGCCGCCTCTGGGTGTCCGCCAACCTCAGCTTCCGGCCCGGCCGCACGGTCGAGGGGGAGGCTGCGGCGTTCGGGGCGCTGCTCGGCGCCGAGAACTGGCGACGCTAGGTGGTGGCTTCGCCGCTCTCGCTCTCGCCCGCAGCCATTCCGCCCGCAAACGCCACAGCGGGAAGGAGTCTCTATTGTCGCGCGTGAAGCAGTGAGCAGAAATGTTGAGCGCATGCACATCAGACTCAGCCACATGTCTGCCAGCGCAGCAACTACTCCTGGTACGGCGCGGCTACTGTATGGCCCATGTCCATGTATGGTGTGCTAGCACCTGTTGATTAATTAAGAGTTGCACAGGGCACATTAGCATTTTGAGGACGAGTGCCAAGGCCCGTGTGTGTGCGCGCACGTGTGTGTGTGTGTGTGTGTGTGTGTGTGTGTGTGTGTGTGTGTGTGTGTGTGTGTGTGTGTGTGTGTGTGTGTGTGTGTGTGTGTGTGACTGTTGTGTGAGTGAGGATTGCCTGTCACGCGCGGTCTCGCCTCTTCACAGTCTCTCTCTCGACCTACGTCATGTGCGAGACCACACGGTTACAGTAACCCACGCTGCCCCGTGGAGACGGAGACGGGAAGAGAGAGGGTAGGGGCAGGCCGCAATCTTGGGAAAGGAGACGGAGAAGGCGCGTTGACGCCAGGGGCCTGCTGCAGAGGCTGGATGAGGAGAGGGCAAGGCGGGGGGAGGAACTGCTCACGGATCCCGACCTCGAGCACCTAGGGGTGCCGGCAGACTATGTGTGGCAAATGTCAATACAGGAGTGGAACGCGCTCATGCGTGCGCTGCACGGCAACGGGCGGGGGGCGGGCCGCGGTGGAGCGCGCGGGGGGGGGCAGGGGAGCGGCTAAGGCGCGGGGAGGGAGAAGCGAGCAAAAGGAGCGGAGAGCGTGCTGTCTCACGCTCAACGTGTGCGGGCTGCACCTGGAAAGGCGGGGTGAGACGATGGAGGAGATCGAGGAGCTGCGAGGGGGGACAGGGGGCGCGAGTCGGGTGAGAGATACAGGGAATGACACGACAGAGAAGCTAGAAGATGTGATAGGGATCATCAAGCAGGGGTGTGTGACCATCGCCACCCTCGCAGACACCAAACAGACTAGGCGAGAGCTGGACGGTGCTCTCTTTTGGAGGACGTGCGTCGTGCCCCCGGCGCCCGCGCCTACTTTTTGAGCCTATCTCGCAAATACTTGATTTTTCACGCCGTGTAACAATCGTGATCAAACGGCCCTGCTCTGAGCTGGTACACCAAGAATGGCTTACCACTGCCAGGAGCCACACTGTGGCAAGCTGTGATGAGCGTGGTTTGGCTTGTGCAGCCCATACGGACGTGGTATATATACATATACAGGTCAGCCGAATTTAAGATTTGAAGGCGGGGAGTCCGTTAGCCTTAAAATCTTGAAAATGTGTGAACGGACAGCTAAAATCTTGCGAAAATGCGCCCCAGAGCTCTAAAATCTTGGTCTAAAATCTGAAAATCGCCGGCCTGCGGCCGGCCTCTAAAATCTTAAATTCGGCGGACGTGTATGCGGCCACGTGTCGGCCGGTTCGGGGCACGAAATCCGGATTTTTCCACGGCGTAACAATCGTTGCTGTAGTGGCGCCAATGGCCGCCTCCCGTCGCGCCATTGGCACCCTAGCCAGCAGTAGCACCGGAGGCAACACCACCAAGCCCACAAGTCACAAGAGTGACGGAGATGCTTGCCACGAGCACCGTGACGCCCGACCCTGTGAGCACCGTGGGCGTATACGGCTGCATACGGTGAGATGATGCACAGCATGGCCAGACGAGGGATGCAATGCTCGCCAGCTGTATGTTAGTGAGGTATATGGATGTGATCAACATGTGTGCGTCACAGGTACGCGCAGCAGCGCATGTAGCCGCTGATATCGAAGACAGCGCAAACAGGTCTTTTTGCGCCACGCACCCGATGGCCGTGCTGGTCCAACTGCGTGCACAGGAATGCTATCAGCGCGTCTCCGCCATAACTGGACATGGCAATGAAGCAGCTGAGACGTGATAACACCGGTGCTGGGCCAAGGAGGTGCCGCTCACCGCCGATTGTTACGACTGTCGTCGAAGGCGAGCGGCGGTCGCCGGGCAGCAGCTCGTGGCGATCGTCGATCCGCGAGCTGCCAAGCTTGTCACAGGCCGGCACTGGATCGAGGACGATGGCGCCGCGCGGCTGGAGGCAACGGAGAAAGGCATTGTGGAGCGGCGAGGCGATTGTTACGAATTTCGAGGGTGCGGAAAAATCCGATCGCCTGGAAAAATCAAGTATTTGCGAGATACTGTACTTTTAGCTTACTGGGAGAAAAGAGACAGGGAGGTTGTCAACAGGGAGAAGTCGTAAAATCCTTTTTTGCACGACACTGGGCACGGGACTGGGGTTGTAAAATTCTTTTTTGATTCACAGGAGCCGGCGCGGTTCCCCTTTGGGGGGCTGATGTTTGAGTGCCAGGCGGCGAGGCCTCCCCAGACCCGCAGTGCGTGCGCAGAGCCAGTATTGCCTAGACAATAAATCTCTCTCGGGTGTCGGGTGCTCGGGTCGCGCACGCATGGACGTGCACGCGCGCGCACTGTGGTCTGTGCTGGGGTGTGGGTTTGCGTCGTTCGTGCCTTAGTAAAAACACGAGAGACCGACCAGCTTAGGGGACCCCTAGGCTTAAAACGGTGGGCCCTGGGGCACCTGCGTCCTGCGGCTTAAACGGCTTAAAACCTGCCTACGTAGGCAGGTTTAAGAGCTGCTATACTGCTGCTGGGCCGCCGATTCCTTAAACGGTCTTAAATGCTTAAACGGTGCGGGAGAGAGCTCCCGAGGTCGATGGCGTCCGGGAGGCTCCTGGTAGACGCCGGAGGACGGGAAGCTGGCTACAGTCAGCTAGCACGCATCCCGTATGCGAGTGTGGCTCCTGCCAGTGCACCAGACTTACATATGTGTCTTCAGAGGCGGGTTTGTGCCTAATAACGGCAGTATTGGAGAGGGTAAGGTAAGGTAAGGTAAACTTCTCCACACACACGAGGTGGTGGGGCAAGGGGGGACAACCCAGTATTGGAGAAAACGGCGCGGAACCCAGCGACGCATGCCGGCGAGGCCGATTTTCTTAGACGGTCTTAAAAGAGGGACCCCCCGTGCCTGCAATCTCTTAAATGGCAAGTTAAGCCCCCAAACTTCCTCATTTCTCAAAAGGTCTTAAAACAATCCGCGGCCCTCAGAACCCTAGGGGTACCCTCGACCCTCTACCGGACCTCGACCCGGACCAGCCGGGTACTGACGCGTAAGCCGGCGGTTAGTAAGCGGTAACGGCGTAAGACTGGCGTTAGGGGGCGCGAGCGCCGAGCGCTTGGCGCCCATTTGCCATTAACCCCTAAACGGCGTTCCTTTACATATGTAAAGGAACTCATTGTTATTTTATTCCTTTGCAGGACGGCTGGTCGGAGCGACGGCCGATCCAGCAGTCGTCTGCGACATGGTAGTGGCCCCGTGTCATGTGCAGCTGGTCCCGAGCGGCTCAGGTCCCAGATCGAATCTCGGACCCACAGATTCTAGATTCCTTTAGATTCCCTGGATTCCCGCAACAACGATCTCTTAGCGGCGGCAAACAGAGGCGCAACTCTGCCAGCAGCGAGGAGGCTCCTGCTGCTCAGCTACCGAGGCCTGGTGGCGTCGGCTGCTGCGTGGAGAAGACAGCAGCACTGTCCGACCTCAAAACATGCACAACAAGCGGGATTTGTGACTCTGTATTCGATTCTTCAGTCGCTCTGCCGGACGCGCTCGCTTTGTCGCGAGGGTCACCTGTGCAAGCCGTGTGGACGCCCAGAATAGCCTACCCTGGCTTAGCTAGACTGAGAGATATTGTGCACATGGTCAGCCTCTACAATATATACGCTGACACTTTACCTCCCAGAGCTCGTCTCGGTCCGCCACGGCCATCCTCAGCCTCCGGAGGGCCCCTGGCCGCGGCGCGGTGCGGCGGCGTCACAAATCCGACGTCAGTTCACCGGGACGCGATCGGGCGATCTGAAGTCCAACTAGGCGTATGGATTGCCCGCCCAGGGCTATCACCTGGACCCCTCAATGGACGCCTGCGGTGCCGCCCCCACGAGGTGTTGTTCACACCTGTCCAACCATTCGTGCAGCAGGGACGCGCTGTGTGTGGCTGGCAGCAAACTCAAATGACGACGGGTTGCAGCCTCGTAGCTCAACGGCAACATTGTGCATGAGGAAGGCTGATAGAAGTAGCACCAGCCACACAACCAACAGCTTCTGGAGAGTATGCGGAGCGCAAGCAGCCGGTGATCAAAGGCGTGTGTTGCTGTCGGTGGCAGATTGCCACAGGGACGCCGGCGCTTCGGTGCGTGGCTTCGTCACAATTTTCCAACACTCAACTTGGAGGCAGTGTGTCTAGTAGCGTGCTACACCTATGACGGCGGACCTCACTGGGGCGCCGACGTGCGACGACCGTCTGGGATCGAAAGACGAAACCGCGTCCTCCAGGAGCTCGTGCAGTCTGCAGAGCGCGCTCCGGAGCTCTGTGGCGGAAAATTTAAAGGGAACGTGGTGGCTTCCCACCGCCTCTGTATGTGCCCAATAAAGTGCTAACACGACCCTCGGGCAGCAGGGGGTATGTGGCGAGCGCACGGAGGCACAGTTAGGCCGCCGTGATATCGCCCTTCCGGGCACCCCGTTTCGGTAGCCGTTTAGGGGTTAATCAATGCATCAAGCCGTAGGCCTAGGCGCACGGCGCAGGGGCAGCGCAGGGGGCCCCCGGCCGGCCCGCTGAAATACTTTCCTCAAAACAGTAGATGTAGAGTTCTCAAACTCGCCCCCTCCCTCGACCCTTGCGCTAGAGATAGCGCGACAGGGACCTTCCTATGAACCTATCAGTCAATCAGCCAGACCTACTCCTACATCCTACAATGCACCCGCCACCCCCCCACCACCCCGTGGCGTCTTCGTCCCGCATGATCAGACGCGGCTGCGCCGTCTGGGTCTGCCGGCAGCTGCCGGCGCGCCCGCGCGCACCCTGCCACACAGCCACCCGCCGAGTCCAGAACTCAGCCATGCTCGAGCGGCGAGTGCAGCCCGACCGCCGTGCTGAGCGCCGTGGAGAGCGGCCAGTTGCGAGGCCGCGCGACGCGCGCGGCGGCCCGCCGCTTGGCGCCCGCCGCCGCCTGTTCACAGCGGGTTTTAGTGTGAAGAGGCGCCGTGGCTCGCGCACACACGGTCCGACGGTGGAGAGGCGTGTGCCGCCCCCGCCTCCTCCTCCCCCTCCTCCTCCACCTCCGCCTCGGCGGCCTTGGTGGCGGACGCACGGCACCGCTGCCCCCGCCTCGCCTCCCGCTCCTCCCGCTCCTCCCGCTCTTCCCGCTCCTCCTCCCACCGGTCCTGCGCCTTGTCTCGCCTCGCTTCGGCCGCCGCCTGGGAGGGGGGGGGGGGGGAGGCGAGGATCCGTGCTGTGGGGTTCGTCAGCAACGTTGGTCCGCCTTTCGCGGCATGCTTTCGCGTGCTATCTCGCGGAGGGAGATTGGGGGGAGATCGGAATGAGATCGGGGGTGATCGAGAGGAGATATCGGCGGGAGATTGGGAGGAGATCGGGAGGCGATAAGGCGGGAGGTTGGGGGGAGATGCCGCGAGCCCGAGCCTCGCGGTAGTCATGTCTCCCCATATCTCCCCACACATCTCCCCATATCTCCCGCGCGCCTGAGCCTCGCGGTACGGCCTCGATGTGCCGTGCAGCGAGTCGAGCCAGCCGATGTTGCCGTAGCAGCAGCTGAAGCGCTGGTGGTGAAAGTCGTGGAAGTCTGGCTGCTCGTCGAAGGCTGCGATCCAGGGGAGGCGGTAGCCCGAGTGGTGCGTCTGGGTGCCGAGGGCAGCGCCGACGATCCACAAAAAGACAAAGAAGATGTGAGGCCGGAAGAGGACGAAGCCGGCGGTGAAGGGGACTAAGTCCGCCGTGAGGAGCTCGAGCGGGTGGGCGTGCACGGCGGCTAGTGCAAACGGCGCGGTGAACTCGTGGTGGATCTTGTGGATGCGGCGGTAGAGGGGGCCCTGGTGCAGCGCCCAGTGGGCGTAGAAGAAGAGCACCTCGTTGACCAACAGATGAGCGAGCAGCATCCACGCGCGCTCCGCGTAGCTGGGAAGGGCCCCCTCCAGCCTCACGCCGCGCTCGCCGCGCGATGCGACGGAGAGGTGGGCGAGGGCGAGCACGTAGGGCAGCCCGACCAAGCACAGCTCGAGCACAGACACGGCCACCACGCGCGGGATGCGGCCAGCGTCGACCCTCCTCTGCGGCTGGAGCTTGTACGGAGTCCCTGCGGCGACGGCCGGGCTCCAGAGCTCGAGAGGGAGGAGGAGGGCGCCGTGGAGGAGGTACGGCACAAGGAAGAAGAGGAAGGTGCAGACGCCGTACGCGTAGCCGGCGCCGCCGTCGTACAGGTCGCCCCAGCGCGCCGCCACCCCCGCCGCAAACGCGCCCCACGCCACCTCGTCCACGCTCGCGAACCAGAGCGCCGCCGCCCACGCGGCGGGCGAGTTGCCGCACATCGAGACGAAGAAAAAGTTGGTGAAGCAGGCGCAGGCCGCCTCGAGCGGGTCGGCGGACGCCGCGCGCCAGACGGCGCCGACGCGGCACTGCAGCGGCTCGCACCCGCCGCCGACAAGGGCGGGGTCGCGCTGCCGCGCAAGGAGGTAGAGCGAGACCGCGCACACGCCGAGACCGTGGGCGATGTCCCAAGCGGCGTGCAGCGCGCGTGCGCGGCGGTAGACGGACCGCGGCGACGGGCCGAGGGGCTGCTTGCTGGGCATTGATGCCCAAGTCCTTTCCTGTCGAGTCGCGAGGCGCCGCCTCGTTTTTCTTATTTCATCGCGGCGGCGTTGTTCCTTGACTTTACACCGGGATATCGTAAGAAGCGGTGGCGGGGCCGGGTGGCAGACAAGCCCATGAAGAGCTGGTATGCGGATTTGAGAAATGAGTCGCTTTGGAGAGAAGAGAGATTTTTGGCGATACCAAACAACTGTTCGCTTTTGTCGATCGAGCTCCTCGGCGGCGTCCTCGAGGAGGTGAGCGGCCAGGCGCTCGGCCGCTTCCTCGAGGCGTCCCTATTCGAGCCGCTCGGGATGCCCGACACGGGGTTCGAAATTCCCGAGCACGCCCTCGGACGGTTCACCCGATGCTACCGCGGCACGGGCCCCAACCGCTTCGAGGACGACGCCATGGTCGGCGCCTGCGACGCATCGACGCCGTGGCTGCGCGGCAAGCCGCAGGGCCAGAGACCGAGCGGCGGAGGCGGGCTCCTCTCGACCGCTCGCGACTTTCTCCGCTTTGCAGAGTGGCTGGCGACGGACGGGCGGCTGGATGGAGTGCCAGCGCTGCTGAGCCGCGAGAGCATGGCGGCGCTGAGGTCCGACCAGCTCCGCGGCATGGGCGCCGGCGCGGGACCCTGCTTTGACCCGTTCCAGAGCTTTGGCTTGCTCGGCGGAGTGGTCTGCTCTCCGGGCGAGGGCGGGGACTACCTCCCCGCCGGTGCCGCGTCGGGGCTGGGCGCGACGGGCTGGGGAGGCGTCGCGGGCACCTTCTTCGCGGCCGACCCGGAGCACGGCCTCGCGCTGGTCCTCTACACGCAGGAGGTGAATTACTTCCTCTCCTCGCAATCGCTGCGGCTCTCGCTGTGCAGGCAGGCGCACGGCGTCTTCCCCGACTTGAGGCAGCGGCTGGAGGCTGGTCGGGCGCGCGAGGCATCGAAGCTCATGCTGTACACGGCGTGGGAGTGACGCTAGGAGTGACGGGGGGCGGGGCGGGGCTGGGGGGGGGGGGGGGGGTAACAAACCAGGGAATACAACCGCCACCTTTTCGCTTCGAGGCGAGGACGAAACCGATAACCGATAACCGTCCCGCCCCAGCCCCCGCCATTTGTTTCTATGCGCGGGGCCCGAAGGCCCGATGGCGTGGGACCTGGGACGAAGGGGTGGGACGGGCTTGTATGGGGAAATGGGGATTGGCGCCCCCCCGTCTTACCCACCGCCCTTCCTCACTGCGAAGAAGAAACACACACAGCGACCAAGAAACACACGCCCACGGCGCTCTTCCCTCGCTCCCGCCCACACGCGCCCTCTGCCTGGCCGACCAAAAGCTGGCTCAGCCGCCTCCCGGCGCGGGCTTGCTTCGACGGCGTCAAAGGCTGCGCCGCTCGCGCTGCCGAAAAAGATCGAGGCAGCGGCGGCGAACGGCAAGGCGGGCGTGGTGCAGACGTGGCTCGCCGGGGACGGCTGACGCGACGTGCGTGCATCGCGGTGTGAGTGGCTGTACGCTCCTGCTGATCGCCGCCGCCTACGGCCACAAGCAGCTGGTCGAGGTTCTGCTGAAGCGGGGCGCGAAGCCGGACGCGCAAAACAGCATCGGCCACACCGCGCTGATTGCCGCCGCCACCATCGGCCATGTGCAGGTGGCCGAGACGCTGCTGCGGCACGGCGCGGAGATCAATCTGCAGAGCAGCCGCGGTGTCACCGCGCTGATGCTCGCCGCCGACCAAGGCCACGAACGCGTGGTCGAGCTGCTGCTGCGGCACGGGGCAGAGGTCGACCTGCAGGACGGCGACGGCCACACTGCGCTCACGGGCGCCGCCGACTACGGCCACCCTGTCGTCGTCCTCCAGCTTCTGCGGGCGGGCGCAGACATGACGCTGCGCACTGCGGACGGCGAGACGGCGCTGCAGATCGCCAAAGAGAAGGGTCACACCGAGTGCATCGCCGCCGTCAAGACGTATCTCGGCGAGGTGGCGGCGGAGAGGCGCGAGGCGGCGGCGGTCGAGGCGGGCGGCGAGGGCGGCAGCAGCGGGCCTGTTCCCGAGGAATTCGGCGAGGCGGGCGGCGCAGGGGCGGACGGCGATGCCGCCTCGGGCAAGGGGGCGGCGGCGGCACCAACTGCCGCGTCCTCTTCTGGCGGCGTGGAGAGCGGAACGGGCGAGGACGCCGTCCCCGAGGAGATCGCGGAGGCGGCTGTGCAAGGCGAGGAGGCGATGCTGGCGTGGCTCGACGGCGGCGGGCGGGTGGACGCGACTTTCACTCTTGAGGGTGTGAGCGGCTTTACGCTGTTGATGGTCGCCGCCGCCTACGGCCACGAGCGGCTGGCCGCGACGCTGCTGCAGCGTGGCGCTTCGATCAACCTTCGGGACAGCGCAGGCTTCACCGCGCTGATGTTCGCCGCTCTCAGCGGCCACGAGCGGGTGGTCGAGCTACTACTGCATCACGGCGCGGAGATCAACCAGCAGGAGATTGCCGGCCGCACCGCGCTGATGTTCTCCGCTTTCAAGGACCACCCCGCGGCCCTGCTCTGCCTGCTGCGGGCGGGCGCCGACACGAAGCTGCGCTCGGTGGCTGGATTCACGGCGCTGCAGTTGGCCAAGGAGAATGGCCACGCCGAGTGCGTGCGCGCCCTCGAGGAGCATGCGGCGGCCGAGAAGGCGGCGAAGGAGGCGGCGTGGGCTGCGGGAGCGGCGGAGAGGGTGGCACAGAGGGCGGCGGAGGAGAAGGAGGCGGCGCGGCATGCCGAGGAGCTGCTGGCGGAGGTCGAGGCGGAGAAGCGCGGCAAGGGCAAGAAGGGCAAGAAGAAGAAGAAGGGCGGCGGGAGCGGCGGCGCTGGGCCGTCGCAGGAGGCCGAGGCGCCGTCAGAGGCAGCCGCAGCCAAGCCCGCGAAGCTGGACAGGGAGGGGTTGATCAGGCTTCTCGAGACGCTCCACGAGGAGCGGATTCGGTACGGCACCACGGCGGAGACGTCGGTCGAGGGGCTGGCCGAGGCGTTGGGAGAAGCGGCAGGCGAGGCGAGCGAGGAGGAGACGGCAGAGGCGGGTGAGGAGGCAGCCTTGGTGGCAGCGGAGGCGCGCCGGGAGGCGGAAGCCGAGGCGGACGCTCTCGCAGCGGCAGAGGAGGAGGCGGCCGCCGCGGCAGCGGCTGCGGCGGTGGCGGCTGCGGCTGCGGCGGCAGAGGCGGCGGAGGCGGCGGAGGCGGCACTGGCTGCCGTCAAGGCGAGGCGCGCGTCAGCGGCCGCCGCGAGGGCCAAGGCGGATGCAGACTAGCCGCGCGCAAAGGACAGCAATCAAGTACAGTACTGCTATTGGCGCCGGCGGCGCACGGATCTTGTTGCAGCATTGTGGGAGGGGTGGAGCTCGCGCTGTCACGTGGTCTGGTAAAGTTGTTCTTCTGGGGGTTCCGCGATCGAGCTCCACACCACCCGTGAGATAGGGGTCATGCCAGATGTACGACGACTTTACGGGGTACGTGGTTGAGTTCACAGCGATTGTATGTTCGTCGGGGAACACTTGACGGTCGCGGCCTTCCGACTCGCGCCTCCGCCTCACTTGCACGCTAGCACACGCGTTGGGCCCGCCCCCGGTTGGGCTTGCGCCTGGCCGGTGCGAGAGTTGAACACTTGAACTCTTGAACTAATTGAAGTTCGCCGAGTGAAAACTCGAACGCGCATCGCGTTCTCTCACGGTGTGACCCAAAATGGCCAGCTCAGAGGCACCTCCGGAGGCAGGCCGCGCCGCGCGTCCAGCAGGCCGCGCCACAATCAGGAGCCCCTTGCGGTGCGGCGGCGTCACAAATCCGACCACAGAGCACCGGGACGCGGTCGGGCGATCTTAAGGCCCAGTGAGGCGTATGCATTGCCCATCCAGGACTATCACCTGGACCTATCAACAGGCGCCTGCGGCGCCGTGCTCAGGAGCTGCTGCTCCAACCTGTTCACACTTCCGTACGGCACAGTAGGTAGGTTAGTTGAGCACTTGAGCACTGGATAGGGTCGGTTCCGCATGGTACGGGACCCCTCGATCGTCTCGCCCTCCCTCACTGGTGTGTTCATTGGGGGGGGTAGGTTAGTTAGGTTAGGTAGGTAGGTAGGTAGGTAGGTAGGTAGGTAGGTAGGTAGGTAGGTAGGTGCGTGCGGTGTCGTCCCCCCTCTCCATCGTCCGTCCGTCCGCAGTCTCCTCCCCTCCGGTCTGCCTGGGGGCTCAAACCCTGACCTCAGCCTGTTCACTGCTAAGTGACGCTCGAGAACTACTCGAGTAATTACCCATCATTTTACGCGACTCCCCTTCTCGTTCCGGCCGACGGAACCCAAAACAGTTCGACCCCAATTATTGCCTCCTTTGGCTTCGCGCTGCCGGGCGGCATGGCATTGCTTCAGGCTCTCGCCGCCGCTGCAGCAGCTAACGTATTGCCAGTGATGCTCAAGAAGCCAAAAGCGGAGCTCGTGTACGAGCCAAGCTACACAGAGCCGGATGCGTTTGGCGGAGGCCTGATCAGCGCAGCGTGGGCCGTGCCAGCCAGCAACATCGTCGCTACCATGAGCAGCACGTACACCAGGAAGGTGCCCGAGGGGAGCAGCCTCGACATGGCAGATGAGGTGATTGATGGCCTGGACCACCGAATACCATCACGCTGCGTGGACGGAGTCCTTTCAACGAGCAACCACACGAACGTCACCAACATTTGCCAGACCCAAATTCCCACCACGAATGCCGAAAACTCGGGTTGGTATAATGACGATGAGTGCGGATTCAATAGCCCAGCGGATCCGAGCGCTCCGTGCGGCACGACAGATCCGTGGATACAGCTAGAGTTCCAGCCGCCGCCACCATATCCGCTCACAAAATTTGCCCTCATCAACCGTTTCGACCCCCGCTCGAGCGCGACCCGAAGGGTGGGAAGCGCCGCGGAGAGCCAAAGGCCGAGCTTCCGCTGTTTTGTTTTTGTTGCGTTTTTCGGCGGTAGTGATCTAATCACCCGAATGCCACGTTCGGATCGCTTCTCATCGCAAACCCCGTCAGCAGTCCTCCTCCGGGAATGTACGTAAGATCTACATACAACGAGAGAGAGCCCGCCTTGCAAACATGGGCTGCAAGCAACGCGGGTTCTGTGGTCAACGGGCGTTCGACCACGCCACCGGCCAAGGCTACGTCAAGTCACAGCGTGGCCACTACCATGATGGAATCTTCACCAAACGAAACAAGTTCAACCTGCTTCTCCACGAGACATTCGGCGGCGGCTTCTCGCCGCCTGCAGTTGCAAAGATCGACCGCCTTGCGCGCAAGGCTCAACGCTCGGGCGTTGACCGCACCGCGTACCCTCCCCACTCTCGCCTCTCATTTGTGTCACACCACGCGGAACGCATCTCCATCGCTTCGGTGAAGGGGGTGAACCGCGCCATCCTCGATCGCCGGTGCAAAGCTCGCTTCCGAGCTCTCACGCCGCGCGTAGGGCCCTTGAACACAACCCCCTCTCCCTTTTCTCCCAGTAAGCTAAAAGTACACACATACAACGAGAGATCCGAGAGATCCCAGTAAGCTAAAAGTACGTACAACGAACATTTCGTGGGGGGGGGGTGGAAGTCCGAGATGCATCCGACGTATCCCCTCCTCGACCCTCCTCGAGCCCCTCGCGTTCTCCCAGCGTCTCGGTGTGTCGGCGACGGGTCAGCCATGCCGCCCCCGCGCCCGCTTGGCTCACCATCTAACAGCGACGAGCGGTCCATGGGCCCGATGGTTGTCCCCTTACGGCGCCGCCGATCGGGTACCATCAAGGCTCCCAGGTCGCTGCTTAGCCCGACGTCAGTGCACGAGATGCTGGCCGAGACAGGCGATGACGCCCGACTCTTGCGCCTCCTCGAGGCTCTGTTGAAGAAGGAAGAGGCCGAGCAAATCGCCCGCGACAACGAGCTGCTGGCGTGGGGCAGAGGCGAAGCATGGGTGCCATGCGAGGCGGAGCCAGTCGACTGGCCCGACCCGCCACCGTACGAGGATTTCGGCATCTTCACTCTGGAGTGAGTGTTAGAGCTCTCGCTGCGGCGCGCTGCGAAGGCGGGCGCGCCGACGGCGTCCCTATTTCTCGCGGTCTCTCCCCTGAGGAGAAGCAGTCGAGCCCCGTCAAGTAGTCGGTCGAGCCGGTGAGGGTGTATTCCATCTCTCTACAACTCAACTCTCACGCCTGATTTCTTGTACTAACTACATGAAACCTGTTCTACTGATGTACCGTTTGCACCGTTTGCACCGTTTCTAACACTGTTATTATGGCGGCGGGGTCGTCCGCACGTGGCGGCGAGTCGCAGCGGCGAGACGTGGAACGAGTTGCTGACCATTCATCGTTCACCGTGACTGCCTTAGCTAACAGGTACTGTGGACGATCGCCGCCGCCATGGCGCCTCCCTCGGCGGCGTGGAGCGAGAGGAGGCCGCCCTCGCCGCAGCTTGCCAGCTGGAGCCCGTCCGGCGACGCGTCCACACTCAGCAGCGCGCCGCCGCCGCCGCCGCCGTCGCTCCACGCAGGCGTCAGCCGCAGCGCCGGGCCGGCGGCGGTGTCGGACGGCGGCGCGGCGGCGTCCAGCGCCGCCGAGAAGCACGAGAGGGAGCCGTCGCTGCCCGCAGCGCATACCACCGGAGGTGCCACGCCGCCGCCGGCGGCGGCGGTGAGGCCGAGGACGGAGGCGGCGTGGTGCGCCGTCGCGAGCAGGCGGGCTGCTGGCGCCTCGGAGGCGGCGGCGGCGGCGTCGTCATCCATCTCCACGTCCTCCGGCTGCAGCGCCACCGCCCACAGCTGGACGCAGTTGCTCGGCTCGTCCCACGTGCCGGTGGCGACACTCCCAGCGCCGGCGGAGCAGGACGAGGAGCGCCGCCCGCGCGCGGGCCGCCGCGGGAAAGAGCGAGTGGCTTGCCGGCGACCACGGCGCCGCCGCCCGCAGGATCAGCGCCGCCGCCTCGCCCTCGCCGCTCGCGGCGCGCTGCAGCGGCGTCGGCTCGCCCTCGTGCAAGCTTGCGCCGCTGCGCAGCAGGGAGAGCGCGCGGGCGGCGGTGAGGGTCTCAAAGTGCGCGAGCGGCGTCCAGCTGCGGCTAGCGATCAGCCAAGCGGCGAGGTCGGGTGGCCTTCATCGGCTGCGATCTCCTCGGGCGTGCCAAGGGACGGCACTGCGGCGCGCGAGGCGCCGTAGGAGGAGAGGAGCTTGGCGACCTCGAGGTGGCCCTGGTGGCACGCGATGAGCAGCGGCGTGGCGCCGTTGTTGGCGCCGTTGTTGTTCATGGCTTGGCCGACCGCTGCGCCAGCCTCGAGAAGCAGCCGGACGATGTCGACGTGGCCCCTCCGACACGCGATGAACAGCGGCGTGGTGCCGCTCGCGTCGGCCTGATTGACCGCCGCACTGGCCCCGAGGAGCAGCCGAACGATCTCGAAGTAGCCGTTCCGGCACGCCATGAGCAGCGGCGTGTAGCCGCCGTCCATGACTTGGCCGACCGCTGCGCCAGCGTCGCGCAGCAGCCGGGCAATCCCGAGGTGGCCTCGGTGGCACGTGATGTACAGCGGTGTGACGCCTCTGGTGTTGGCTTGGTCGACCGCCGCATTGGCCTCGAGCAGCAGCCTGACGCACTCGGGGCATTCCTTCTCGCACGCGAGGAGCAGAGCGGAGGCGCCGTCTGGCTGAAGGGAGCAGCAGCTGGCGGGTCTCGTACACGCTCCTCCTCAGGACTAACAGGAGGAGGAGCTCCAGCCGCAGCGCCGGCGGTTTCAATCACGCCTGTCACTCTACAAGCAGCCCAAAATCGCCCTCGAACTCCTCGAGGTCGCGCTGGCGCGCCGCGCCGTCCGGGCCGTAAGAGCCGAGGCTGGTCTGGGCCCGCTCTAGCCAGCCGTAGAGAAGGGGGCGGCAGCGCTTGTAGGCCAGAGCCCCGTCCACCGCCTCGTACCAGCGCATCGTTGCGGGCGGGAGGCGGAGGACGGTGGTGGCGAGTGGGAAGGCGCCGAAGCCGATCGTGGCGGTGGTTGGCACGGTGACGGAGGAGAGGGAGGAGCAGGCGTTGAAGGCGCTGCTGCCGATCGAGGTGAGGCCGGCGGGGAAGGTGACGGATGTGAGAGACAAGCAGCGGTAGAAGGCTTGCTCGCCGATGGAGGTGAGGCCGGCAGGGAAGGTGACGTTGGCGAGGGCGGAGCAGCCGTAGAAGGCGCAGCTGCCGATGGAGGTGAGGCCGGCGGGGAGGGTGACGCTGGTGAGGGAGGAGCAATGGAGGAAGGCGCTGCTGCCGATGGAGGTGAGGCCGGCAGGGAAGGTGACGTTGGCGAGGGCGGAGCAGCCGTCGAAGGCGTAGTCGCCGATGGAGACGAGGCCGGCAGGGAAGGTGACGTTGGCGAGGGCGGAGCAGCCGTAGAAGGCGCAGCTGCCGATGGAGGTGAGGCCGGCGGGGGAGGTGACGGAGGCGAGGGCGGAGCAGCCGAAGAAGGCGCCTCTGCTGATGGAGGTGAGACCGGCGGGGAGGTCAATGGAGACCAGCGAGCAGCAGCGGTCGAAGGCGTGCTTGCCGATGGAGGTGGGGCCGGCGGGGAGGTCGATGGAGGCGAGCGAGGTGCAGCGGTCGAAGGCCCGGTCGCCGATGGAGACGAGGCTGCTCGGGCAGGCGACCGAGACGAGAGTGGCGCGTTCGAAGAACGCCAGGTCCGGCAGGTGCGTCATGCCTTCGGGCAGCACCGCGTGCCCGTCGGCGACGACGACCTGCCAGCCGCCCACATCCAGAGTCTCGGAGCCGGGCGGCGGCGCGGCGTCGCTCGGCGGCGCTGAAGGTGTTGAGGCGGGCATCCCCATCGTGGGAAAAGAATTCAACGAACCGAAGTCTCTCTCTCTCACAGCACACAGGTTCGACACAGGTACGCCACGGTACCAAAAGAGGCACAGTCGCGGGGGTGCCTACACGAAGGCGTCGAGGTGGGCGAAGGGGGGAGGGCGGCAATCGCCCTCACCCTTACGACGCCCACCCCGGAAAAGAATTTTCCTGGCCCTCCCTCGCACAAGACCGCGAGGTGGCACGAAGGGCGGCCGTCGCCACGTGCGGCGGGGCTCACCGCGGGGCAGCGGCGCCGACGACGTCGAATGCGCCGCCGTGGCATCGCGGCGCCGACGACCAGGCTCAGAGGATGACCCCGGGTAAGCGTTCCCGTGCCTCGACAACTGCCGCTGGTAGGCGCGCCGCGCCGAACCATGGCGGGCGCGCCGCGGCCGCGCGCAACCTTCGTCACAATGCCAACCGCGCGCGGCCGTCGACCGGCAAGCACACGCCTCGACTCGGACACACTGTTCCGAGGGCAAGGGAGAGGGGCTGGCCCCTAGCCCGAGAGGGGAGCTTCCGAGACCCACTACATGACCACGCACACATCATCCCGCGGCCTGGCGGTCGGCGGGATTGCAACCAGTCTTCGCGTGCCGCCTGTCGTTCACTCGGGCGCCTTGGGCGTCGGGGTGGCGAGCAGGGGACGCAGCTCTGAGCGCCCAGCGACGCGTGCCGGATGGAGTCCGGCCGCGGGTGACTAGGGAAGTTCGCTCGGGATGTGTGGCAGCCGCCCCGTTGGCTGAGTGTCTTGTCTTGTGGTTCTGTGTGTCGCTCCTGTGTGACCGTCATCGCCCGTCTAGCGTCCACCCATACCGCGTTGGTGTCCCAGTCGTTGGTCGGACTGTGTGTCGCCTTCCCATCAATGTTCGTTTACAATTATGTGATGTGGAGTCTGGCCGCGCGGCGGGCGGCGGGACGGACGTAAGATAATGAATCGATGATGCGATCAGGCGTAACAAGCGCGATTGCACAAAGGGTGGAAGAGGGTCTGGCCACCGCGGGGCGAGGCAGGCGGTGGGCCAGATGCCGGATCCGCTGTGCGCGTTTGTCGGTCAGGGCGCGGCGCTGACCGCGGCGGCTTGGGCCGCGGCGGCGGCGAACGCCGACGGCGGCGGACCATTCCAGCGGCTCGGCGAGGGCCGGGGCGCGGCGTTGCGGGAGGCGTGGACGGTGGAGGCGGTGCGCACCGTGCCCGCGGAAAGGCGGGCGGCGGCGGGCGACGCCGACGAGCTGTTCACGTACGCCCGCCCGCCCACGAAGAGGGAGAGGCTCGAGAAGGGCGAGCGGCGCGCCGAGCAGCACCAGGGGTGGGCCGATGCGCCGAAGGAGAAGAGGCGGAGGGCGGCGGAGGAGCAGACGGCGGCGCAGGCGGCGCTGCTGGGGCCGCTCGCGGCCGCGGACACCACGGCGTCGCTGGGAGGCGCGCCGATGCGGAGGCCGAGCGCCATCGTGGCGGCGGTGCTGCATCAACCCATCGCGGCGGAGAGGGCGGCGCCGATGCTCGCGCCGCTCGGCTACCACATGAACAGGCTATGCGACGACGTGCTGAAGCGGTGGCGCGAGTTCGAGCGGGAGATGAACCGGTCTGACGAAGACGGCGGCGATGCGGTGATGCGCTCCAGCTGGGCGAACGGGATGCGGGAGGGGTACCCGTGCCAGCAGCTCACTGTCATGTTTCTGCAGTATCTGCTGACGAGCCGCATCCGACAGTCGCTCGCGTCGCGGCGGAAGGGGTGTGAGCGCATCGGGCGGGGGTCGAACACGGTGGGGGGTCAGTTCAAAAACATGCAGAACCACGTCTGGCCGATGGTGTTTGGCCCGGCGGGCTTCCCGACAGGACAGGAGGCGACAGCGTACTGGCGACCCATCCGCGACCAGTTCTCGAGCCTGGTGGGAGGAGGGAGAGGGAGCGAGAGTGCCTCGGTAAGGTGGAAGGAATGCGTAGCGTATTCTTGCATTTTTGCTCTCTGCTAAGAGAGCATTGAGCGGGCGCGGCGGGCGCGGGAGCGGCAGGCAGGGGGGGCGCCCCCTTGCGGCGCGGCGATTGGGCCGTTGGGAAGCCTCGCCGCGTCGACGCGGATGAGCGCATCAGGAACGTGAGGACGATCTTCAATCAATGCCATGACCGTTGATGTTGCGCCACGGGCCGCCGTGCGCCGACAGTCTCAGACGTCCAGACGGCAGAGAGGCTCGCAGAGGCGCATTGGACTTCTTGCAAGAGGCGTTGGATAGCGGGACGGGCTAGCGCGAGGAGGCGAGGCGAGGAAGAGACAGCAATGAGGTAGAATAACAAGGCCTGTGAATGTCAATCAACCCCGGTGAGGGCTAACCTCGAAATCTGCACCTTGGATGGCTGCGCTCCCTGTTTCGCAGCCATCCGTGCTAAGGATGGCTGGCACGCCCAATCGAAGGTTGCAGCGAGAATCGGAGAGAGACTGCGAAGAGATAGGAAGAGGCGGACGCCCAAGGGCGGGCGACGGCTAGCGCACCACACCCCTCTCCTTAAAATCCCTGTGTGGTGGCGGCGTGCCGTTCTCCCATCCCTAGGGGGTGCGCAGCGCCCCAAAATCCACCAGTGTGGGATTTCGCGCTCAATCGCTTGACTCTGAAAAGCTGGCTATGTACCTTTCTGAGCGCTGTGGTCGCCGCAGACTGGCTCCAACTTGACGGCGGCATGGAGACGTGATGCCTTCATGCCGCCGTCAAGTCGAAATCGACACACAGCTCGATGGTTTGCCCGAAAAGGTACGTAGCGGCGTTTTGGGCGACAACAGCGCTGCGACCGCGAAGTGGCGGTGGACATGCTCCCACGTTGCCGACGCAGCGCCGGAGTGGCCGGCGCTGCTCGCCGCGACCACGACGGCTACTCTGATACTCCGGGCCGACCCGTCCTACCCGACGGTGGCACTCTTAGACGTCTCGCTCACGCTGAGAAAAATTCTGAAACGGCGTGCAGCAGAGTCACCGACGAGACGATCCGCGTGCCTCCTCGTGTCCCGTACCGTTCTCACACATCCATAAACTCACTTTGGCCTCACTGAAGCGATGCCTGAATCCTGAATCCTCAGATTATAGATTAGGACGCTGCGCACCCTCTACCATCCCTCCCTTGGGGTGTCTGTTTTCTTTCTTTCTTTACACCGAATAGAATTTTACAAGCAAAATAACTTTTTTCCCTTTTTCTCGCAATATGTCTCCAAGTACTCGAAAGATTCTCCGGTCTCGTAGTCGTACACACGCTCCTCCTCAGGACAGGAGGAGGAGCTCCAGCCGCAGCGCCGGCGGTTTCAATCACGCCTGTCACTCTACAAGCGGCGCAAAGTCGCCCTCGAACTCCTCGCGGTCGCGCTTGCGCGCCGCGCCGTCCGGGCCGTAAGAGCCGAGCCTGATGTTGGCTCGCTCTAGCCAGAGGACAAGGCCGGGGCGGCAGCGCTTGTAGGCCAGAGCCCCGGCCACCGCCTCGTGCCAGCGCTGCAGGTCGCGCATCCTCTTGGGAGAGAGGCGGAGAACGGTAGTGGCGGGCGGGAAGGCGGCGTAGCCGACGGTTGCGGTGTCTGGCACGGTGACGCGGGTGAGCGGGCAGTCGCGGAAGGCGCCGTGGCCGATGGAGGTGAGGGTGGTTGGCACGGTGACGCGGGTCATGGAGGGGCAGCCGCAGAAGGCGTAGACTCCGATGGAGGTGAGACCGGCAGGGAAGGTGACGGAGGCGAGAGAGGTGCAACCATTGTAGGCGTTGTCGCCGATGGAGGTGAGGCCGGCGGGGAAGGTGACGTGGGCGAGGGAGGAGCAGCCGCGGAAAGCATGGGGGCGGATGGAGGTGAGGCTGGCGGGGAGGTCGACGGAGACGAGCGAGGTGCAACGGTAGAAGGCGCCGTCGCCGATGGAGGCGAGGCTGCGCGGAAAGGCGACCGAGACGAGAGAGGTGCGGAGCTGAAACGTCCCGTCTGGCAAGTGCGTCATGCCTTTGGGCAGGACCGCGTGCCCGTCGGTGACGACGACCTGCCAGCCGCCCACGTCCAAAGTCTCGGAGCTGGCGGCGTTGCTTGGCGGCGGCGCAGACGTCGAGGACACCATCGTGGAACAAAGAATTTAAACATCACAATCTCTCTCACAGCACGCAGGAAACAAAGAAATCGCGCCTGACGGAGCTTGTTGTTGAGTATATGAGCGACCCACCTCGAGGGTTGCTCCCGACTCTGGCCAGTTCACGTAGCCACACCTCGCCTCCTTGGTGCGAGTGGCTGCCAGTTCGACTCTGGGGAGGATCGAACCATTAACATGGTACCTCCGGTGAGATCTCCCAGGTCGACGGCGGTCTGCGAAGATTTGAGTCCCTTCGTGTGTGAGCTACGAAAAAGAAAAGATCGAAAATAGTGCCCAAGGTAACCCGGGGGAACTCGCGTCCCGGAACCTCTGCCCTACCTCGAAACACGGCGGTATCGGATATACAGCAGCAACCTCGTGCTGTGTCGTGGGGGCGTGTTGAGTATATGAGCGACCCACCTCGAGGGTTGCTCCCGACTCTGGCCTTTTCTGGGTCACGTAGCCACACCTCGCCTCCTTGGTGCGAGTGGCTGCCAGTTCGACTCTGGGGAGGATCGAACCATTAACACTTGTGAACTGTGGTCCCACCCGTCGCTCCTGGTCCGGCGGCTGAACGCGTCCGCACACACCCTCGCCCTTCGCGCGGCGCTTACTCGCGGACAACGCGCTGGGTGCCCGTCGGCTGAGGTGACGGCTCGTCGATGTCCCAACCATTGTGGTGCACACTCTCCGTCTCATCACCTCGGTTCCAGTGGAGTTCAAAATAGGCGTAGCCGGCCTGCTTTGCTTCTTCGTAGGTGTAGCCGGCGGCCTTGCACTGCCTGGGACGGAACGTCGCGTGCCTAGCCTCCTTACATGTCATGCCGGCGGCCTTCAGCTGCTTAAGAATCGTTTCGGCTAGGAGTTGGTTGTGTTCTTGAGAATCCAAGATGCCGTTCAACTTGGCCGAAATCATTTCTTGTGCGATCTCTTGCATCGAATAGCCCGCACGCGTCATGTCAGCCGGGCTGTATCCGGCCAACACAGCGTCTCACCGCAGTGCAGCCCCGTCCGCTGCCGCAAATCTCGCAGTACCCCAGGTATTTCGGATGCCAGACAAAAACTTCTCCCGCGTTCGAGCGTCTGGGCGTAGGAACGCGAAAGCTCGGCACACGGTGGACTTTCATCGTTCATTTCTTGCTCTTGGCAGCTCAATTTGCTCCATTGGTCATCGAGGCCATCGATAGCTGCATGGGCATCAGCACATGAATACCCGGCCATCCTCAGTACTGACACCGCGCGTGGACACAGCGTAGTAGCAGTAGCACAAAACGTGGACATCGCGTCATCGAAGGATGCGCCGCGAGTTTTGAGCTGCACGAAAATGACGGCCAGATCCTCCTCCGTACAACCGGCATCGATCATGTGCTGCGCGCTGAGACCGAAACCGAACGGGCTCTCAGTGCACACCTCTGTGTACCCCACTTGCTTCAAGAGTCGCAAGCATTGGTGTCGCGGACAGTTGGTCTCGTCAACAGCCGAAAGGACTTGCTCGAAAGTAAATCCAGCTGCGAAGGCTCGGCTGAGATCAAAAGCGCGTTCTTGCGAAAGCACTAAGAGATGTCGGAGATGGCGGACTTGAGCCATGTCTTCCGTCTCGGTTTGTGCTGCCTGCGCCGTCTCGTCGTGTGCCTGCGCCGTCTCGATCGCTATGGTGAGCCTCTCCAGCACTCCTCGGAGGAGCACCATTTCGCCTGCTTCTTGCGCCCTCAAGTCACCAGCCTGCTTTTCCAGCAGCGCGATGCGCCTGTCCAGCGCGCCCACGAGGTGCTCGTGCGCGCTATGCTGCGAGTACGCGGACGCCAAAAAGACAACCAGGGCCACGCCCCCGAGCGATCTCTCCAAACCCAGCATGGTCGGATCGAACGACTCTGATAAGCGGCTTGGGGCAGCTCGGCGTAGGGCGGCAAGGTGGAACGCCGAGTCTCTCACGCTATCAGTGTCACGCATACAAAAAATAACGAGGTCCGATCGGGGCGCATGAGCCGGACTTGTGGGCCGGACCACCCAAGTCCTTTATCTGCGTTGTTGAGCCAGGACTCAACATACTCGTTCTGTTGCCATCCCAAACTGTCACTCCCCTCTCTCCCGGCCGGGGTGGGGCGCGCGCGGGGGGCGGCGGGTGTGCGGCGGGTGTGCGGGATGTCTGTGGGCCCGAGAGCGATATGCCATGTCCGCCTTGCGTTGCCGAGCCGCGGTCGTCGTCGCTGATGGTATGTGGCGGCGGCGGCGGCGGCTCGCCCTTCCCTCCGGCCGCAATTCCGATCCCGCCGCGCTCGCGGGAGGTGGCGCGCCCAATCCGTGCTTGCTGTGCCCCTGCGTGGTGTGTTTCAAGTTCTTACAACCCAAGGTGATAGAGGGCAAAAAGATCGATTGCGCTCTTGCCGATCCGCACCTACCTAGGCTCTTGGGTGGCGCGCCCCAGCTCTTCACAGCGAACCTGGTCGCTGTTTCCTCCCACAGTTCCCTCCAAGCCGGACACAGCGGTGGAGAGAGACGAGCTGGAGAGAGAGTGTTTCTCACTCCGGAGTTCGAATTCTTGATCGCAATGGCGTCTTACGCCACCGGCAACGTCGGAGGAAGCGCAACCACATCGGCGGACGACTCCATCGACGACAGCGCGATCGACTCCATCGGCGAGCGGATGGCGAGCCTGGCGGCCGCCAGCTGCCTCCGCACCACGCCGGTCAAGTACCACGCAACCAGGTTTGCGATTGTGGTTGGCCTTCCCCTCGTCGGGACGCTGACGCTCGGCGCCGCCATCGGGCCAGAGCTGGTCGCAAAGGTCGTCGTTTGGTTCGTCGCGACAGAAGTATCCGGCTTTGGCGGCGCGGACGGCCAGCTAGGCGACGGACATACCCTCCTCACGCCCCTGTGGTTTCGGCTCACGCCGGGCACGCTCCGTCAGTCACCGTTCGCAGACCCGTCGACGCCTCCTAGCGGCCGCAGCCGACTGGACGCGCTTGTCTTGATCAGCACGCTCTTCACCGCTGTCGCGACGATCGGCTCGACCGGCCATGCCCATGCGCAGGCGCTGCGCCTCTTTGCAGGCGCGTTCACCGCCCTGTGCCTGCGCGACTACAGTGCGTGGTGCGGCGGGCAGGGCAAGCACTTCTACCCGCTCCTGCTCAGTGCCGCGTTTGCTGGGCCGGCCGGCACGCTCGCTGCGATGCAAGCCACTCAATTTGCGCACATCTTCTTCTCGGGCCTGTGCAAGCTGGGCCCATGGTGGATTAACGTCGGTGCGCCGCTCCCCCCCCCCCCCCCTCTGCCTCGCCCCGCTTCGCTGCCTCTCTCTGCCTCCCGCCTCTCGACGGCCCCACCCCTTGCGGCAGTGCCAACCATGTTTGGGATGGCGCCGTGCTTCCCGGAGGCCGTGCGCGCACTCGCCTTCAAGGACGCCCGGGCGGGCGACGCGGCGCCGTCGGGGGCGTCCATGCTGCTCGCGCTCGCGGGCGTGATCGCCGAGCTGGCCGGTCCTTTCTCCTATGGCTAGCTCACCCTAGCCCTACGCCGACCCCGACCCCAACCTAACCCTGACCCCAGGTCCTCTCCTGTGGCTCGCGGGCGGAGTAGCGGCGCGGCTCGGCGTGCTGCTCGTGGGCGGCATGCACGCCTTCATCATCCTCGCCAACCCGCTGGGAGGGATCGGTGAGGCGCCAGTAGTTTTGAGGTAGATTCTCTCGGGCAGGGATCAACGGCGTTTGACACAGACACAGCTCGGACACTGGACACCGGCGCTTTCTGGGTGGACGAAGGAAAGGTGTGTGCCGCTTGCTCGCTCGCAGGCGAGTGGAACGCGGCCAACATCTTTCTCGAGTGGTACTTGTTCGGCCTCAACTCCTGCGCGCCTCGCGCCTTCCTGGCGGCGCCTCCGCCGCCCCTCGCCGCTTTCCTCCTCGCGTCGCAGTACTTCGCGCCCGTGCTCGGCAACCTGCGCCCGGACTCGATGTCCTACCTGCTCGCGCCGTTGCTCGACCTCCAGCGGCCACTAACTGAGTCGCTCATTCCTTCCTCCATCAGGTCGTACCTGCTCGCCATCCGAAACTACTCTGGCAACCACGCGACACACATCTTCGCCGCCAAGGCCTCCGCGCCTGCCAAGCTCCTACTATGAATGAGTAGTGACTCATCGTCAATAACCTTAGCGTTGACAACAGGCCTCCGCGCTCGCCAAGTTGAACCGGGTCCCCGGCGCCTTCGCGCTCTTCGCACCGGCGGACCCTGCGCTGCGGGTCCCCGATGCCGTCGTCAACCCGCTGAACTGGGATTCGTTGCCATCGGCGGGGCCCGATGCCATCGGCGGGGACCGTCGGTGCAGCGGGTCCCCGGCCAATACCGCTAGCAACCCTCACGGCCGCCCGCCGTCCACACCGCCAAGCATTTGGCCGTCGCCAGCGCTGCCGCGTGTGCGCGCACGTTCCGTCTCACGCGTCGCTGTGAGTAGACTTCGGCGCGGACGGTCTCCTCGGTGGCCTTGGGACGCTCGCACGCGCTCGCGGCAACACCAAGTGCCTCGGCTGGCTGCTCCAGACCTATGTGCTGCCGCGGGAGGCGTACCCGCCCCGCGAGGGGGGTGCTGCTCGCGAGCATGTCCTGATTGGTCTGCCGCAGTTCTGCAACCAGGTGACGATCCTCGGCCCAGCTCGGCTCACCTCGGCTCACCTCGTATCGGCTTGCCTCAGTCCACTTCGGATCATCTTGGATCATCTCGCCTCATCTCGCCTCATCTCAGATCATCTCGCCTCATCTCGGCTCATCTTAGCTCATCTCGGCTCATTTTGGCTCATCCGCCCCTTTACGCCGCCTCCAGACCGTGACCGAGATCGACTTTGGGTCGCCCGGGCTTCTGCGCACCCTCGCGGCGAGGTGCGGGCTCGATAGAGGCGACCTGCTCTCGCTGCGCATCTCGTCGTTCCCGCTGCTGCCCGACCTCGCGACAGGCCGCTACCGCTGCCACTGGTCGGTCGTCGACGCCGTCGACGCCCTCTCCGCCGACCCCTCCGCCCCCACGCCAGAGCTACCGCCCGGGGCGCCCGCCCGCTGGGGTCTCTTTGGCCGCACGACGGCATCTCTGCTATGGGTGCCCTCCCTCATGCCCCCCTCCCCGCCCCACCCCCTCCGCCTCCCCCCGCCCTCACCACCACCGCTAACCGCCGCTTTGAAGCCATCAGCCCCCTGGCAGGACCTCGCCGGCGAGAAGAAGGGCGTGATCGAGTGCGACCTCTTCTCGGGCTTCTTCGAGGGCCGCGCGAGCGCGTGGCAGTTTGGCGACCCCGCTGGGAGGAGGACCTTTGACGCGCAGGGCCGCGACATCACGGCCAAGAAGGTAAGGTAAGGGACGACTGAGCGCCAGCCGCGTGCGGTGACATCTCCGCCGGCCCACGCATCGCTCGTCCTGAGCGTATCTGTTTGAGTACAATGTCATTCCTTCCTCCTCCTCGTCGTCGTCGTCTTCCTCGTCGTCGTCCTCCAAGGCGTCGGACTGTTCCTCCGAGACGTCCGACTCGTCCTTGTCGTCGGACGGAGGAGGCTTACATAGGCTTGCGCTTCTCCTCGGGTCGCTCGGGTCGCACCAACACGGACACGGTGTAAAGTATGGGGCGGCGTTTTTGTTCGGCGTCGGCGGGGCTGACATATGTGTCGCGAAAAAATAAAATCAAGCTTCACAAGAGGTCTGTGCATCTTCTTCTTGCGTCGCCCATTTTTCTCCGAAGTGCCCCTCCTCTTCATTATTTATACGTCCACGTCTTGTTTTCACACCTGGCCCAACCCTCGGATACCAGCTGAAGAGCGCGAGGCTCTACACGATTGCCGACCTCGGCCGGGTCACTGAGCAGTCGGCTGCGCCGCGGTCGAGGGCGGCGACCACCTCCGCCGACGACATGACGTCGCCAAACTGCTGGACGAACGTCTCGCACGCGTCGCGATGCTCCTCGTGCGTCAGCGCCGCGCAGCAGTCCTCGACAATCACCGCGCCAAAGTCCAGCATCATGGCGTCCCGCCCCGTTGACTCGACGCACACGTCTGTTTTGCAGCCGGCGAGCAGCACCGTCGTCAGGTCGGCCGAGCGCAGGACGCGCTCCAGCTGGGACGAGCCGCCAATCAGGGCAGAGTAGCGGTTCTTCTGCAGGACGATGTCGGCCTTGTCCACCATCAGCTCCGACCAGATCCGCTGGCCTCGAGCGCCCGGAGACAGCGACTCGACGTACCGCTTCCGGTGGACGCCGGACACAAAGTGGCACCGGAAGGCTGCCCAGTCGTTGTCGCCGGCGCCGAGCACCGTGTTGGCGTGCGCGATCCAGACGACGCGGCCGCCGCGTTCCCTCACCGCACGGGCCAAGGCGTTGATGTTGCCGACGGTGCCGCGGGCGAGAGGCACCTCGACCGCGGCTCCCGCGTCGAGAAAGGTGTGCTGCATGTCGATGATGACGAGCGCGGTGTGCTTGGGCGGCAGCGTCTCGAAGATGTGCAGCGCACCTCTCCGCCTCAGAACCCGCTCCACCACAAAGGCTCGCAGCACACCGTTGGCCGCCTCCTTGGGCGGCAGGACGATGGGAGCGATGGGAGCCCGCCTGCTGCGGCTGAGAAGGAGGTAGACGAGGAGCGAAGCCGCGATAGACGCAGACGCGAGCGGCAGAGAGGAGGTGCTTGCCATGACAACGGCGCTGCGCTGGCCAAGGCGAAAGGCAGCGAGTGTGCTGCGCACCTCCGACGCACACCCGAGCGCCATAAGTTCTTTTTTTGCACTGAACACGCATTCTTTTTCTAACGCTCGCAATGTTGCTTCTACGAGGAAAAGCACGAAAAAGAAAGCGCCCGGGGTGCAAGAGTCGGAGCCGAGCCGTCACAGCCACCACTCGCCATGGAGGTTCTCACCAAGTCGCTTGCCGTCGCTGGAGCCTTTGTCGCTGGAGCCGCCGCCGCGGGCGCACTGTACACTTACCTACACGGGCCGAAGCCGATCGTCGAGAAGCCGACGGCCGAGCCGGTGCACGCACCCAACCTTCGCCTTCGCGGAGGCGGTGCCTCGGATCCAGAGGGCGTGATGAAGGTCATAATCAACTTTGCCGCCGCGCAGAGCATTCGTGCGGTTCTTGGCAGCTTGGCCATTGGAGCGTACATCGTGGGGAAGCCGCTGATACTCACGGTCCCTCCGGCGGACTGGCTGCTTGGCTTCGCGATCGACATCTTCGTGGGCGCCACTTGCCTCCCGGTCGTGAACCTCGTCAAGACTAAGCCCACGCCCAAGACTTGGGGGGTGTTCTGCGCGTGGTGGGTCCTGAGCGGCACGGATCACCTCGAGGCGGCATGGCTCTCCTCCTCAGTCCCCTACGCGGCCGTCCCGTGGCTGGGCCTCACGAAATCCACGTTCATCCTCGTTCCGAGCTTCATCTTTCTCGGGCACCTCGCACTCCTCCCGTCGCTGCTCTTTGGCAAGGAGTCGCTCGCATACTTTGGCGTGAAAGACGATTAGTTAGATTAGGCGCTGGGCAGTGCTGGGCTGCAGCTGCGCGTCGGTGCGCGGATTGTGCATGTAGAGCTCTAGTCAACCCTTTTTCGGGTCAGCTGTATCTTACTATAAGCCATGCCCATGGCAGGGAGCACCAGCACTGAGTGTTTCCTGAGCATGTGTCCCAGCATGATGATGCTTCTTCCCTTGCGAACCCTGCAGCCTGCTTAGGCATCTGTCTGAGCCGTCATGCGCTATGAAGGGGACGCGTAGCCTGTTTTGCGAGATGCAAAACAGCCCGTTTGGATTTCTCCTTCTTCGATCTGGGGGGTACCCGGGGTACACGCGGGCGAGGCAGGCCATCGCTGCAAGCTGAGCCAAGCTCACGCGCCGTCGCATTCACGCACCATCGCGGAAGTCTGCTGAGCATGCCGCATTCGCTCGCTTACGAGGACAAAGTCCCGTTCGGGACGAACTACCGCACGTCGCTCATCTTCTATGTCAATGGCGCACGGCACGAGGTCCCAGACGCCGACCCGACCATGACGTTGCTCGAGTATCTCCGCTCCGTCGGGTTGTCAGGCACCAAGATGGGCTGCGGCGAGGGTGGCTGCGGCGCATGCACGGTGATGGTGTCCGCGTGCGATCCGGCCACGGGCCACCTGAAGCACGAGTCGGTCAACGCGTGCCTGATGCCTCTCTGCTCAGCAGACTGGACGGCAATCACGACCGTCGAGGGGATCGGCGGCTCGGAGGACGGAGATCTGCACCCGGTGCAGGAGCGCCTGGCCAAGATGCACGGCAGCCAGTGCGGCTTTTGCACGCCGGGGATTGTCATGTCTCTCTACTCTGCGTTGCGAGCGTCGCCGAAACTCGCCATGGAAGAAGTTGCGGATCACCTTGATGGCAACCTCTGCCGCTGCACTGGGTATCGTCCGATCCTCGACGCCGCCAAGTCCCTTTGCGCCGACGCGCCGTGCGGTGGCGGCGGGCCTTGCTGCGCCAGTGGCAGCGGCGACGGCAGCGGCGGCGGCGGCGGCAACGGCTGCGGCGGAGGCAACGGCTGCGCCAATGGCAATGGCTGCGAACATCCTGCCGACCCCAGCGGCCGCCTTCTGGTGGACGGGGACGTGGTGACGGCCACCGCCGACAAGCTGGCCGTCTACTCCTCCGAGCGGTACTGCGACTCGCGCGCGGCAGCAAGCGAGCCGGTGATGCCTACTGCGCTCCTGATCGCGCCCCACGACTTAGTCAGTAAGTCTGAATGTGAATGCTCAGGCGATGCCGAGTGAGCTGTCGGCCGCGCCGTCGCCGCTCTGGATCGCCTCCCCGCGCGCCACCTGGTGGCGGCCGGCCTCTTTGGACGAGCTGCTCGCGCTCAAGGCGGCACACCCGCAGAGCAGGGTCGTCGCCGGCAACACGGAGCTGGGCATCGAGGCGCGGTACAAGAGCCGGCAGTGCGCGACCCTCCTCTCGCCGCGCCTGGTCGCCGAGCTGTACGCTGTCGCCGAGGCGGAGGGCGCTGTATCTCGGGCTACATCTCATCTCGGCGATATCTCGGCCGTACCTCGGCCGAACCTCGGCCGAACCTCGGCCGTCTCGCGGCTAGGCGGAGGGCGCTCTCACACTCGGGGCGTGCGCGAGCCTGACCGCCGTCGAGGCTTGCTGCCCCACGCAAGACCTGTCCGCGCCGCTCGGCGTTGACACGTCCACGACACGTCCACGACACGTCCACGACACGTCCACGACACGTCCCGCAGGCTCTCTGCGCCCGCCGCGGCGAGGCGCTGCCCGGCTGCGCGGGCGAGGCGGCACGCGCCATCGCCTGCATGCTCCGCTGGTTCGCATCGACGCAGATCCGCAACGTCGCGTGCCTCGGCGGCACCCTCGTCGCCGCGTCGCCCGTCTCTGACTAATTGAACGTAGCACTGTTGTGAAATTGTTGTCGCTATCGATTAGGCAACCTCGTCACCGCGTCTCCCATCTCGGACATGGTCCCGCTGCTAGTGGCTTGCGGCGCCTCCGTCACCCTCGTCTCCTCCGCCCGCGGCAAGCGCGCCGTGCCGCTCTCGGCCTTCCTCCTCGGCTACCGGAAGGTCGACTTGGGCGAGGCGGACGCTTCACACATCTCACTCCTTGATGAGTTCACCCACTGATTAGGTCGACTTGCGCGAGGACGAGTTGCTACTCTCGGTGCACGTGCCGCGCGCCGAGGGGCTCGAGTTCATCCGGCCCTTCAAGCAGGCGCATGCTCAACCAATTCGCTGATTGGCCGTGGAGGGGCTCCAGTTCACATCCGCGGCCCTGCCAGCAGGCGCGGCGCCGCGAGGACGACATCTCCATCGTGACCGCCGGGCTGCGCGTCCGCCTGCAGCCGGCCGGCGGCGTGTACATGGTGGCGGACACGTGCTTCGCGTTCGGCGGCCTCGCGCCGACCGTGGTGGTGGCGCGCAAGGCGGCGGCGGCGCTGGTTGGCCGGCCGTGGGATGCGCAGAGCGTCGAGGAGGCGTGCGCGGCTGTCGTCGACGAGCTGCGCGTCGGCGCGTCTGCGCCGGGCGGGCAGCCAGAGTACCGGACCGCGCTCGCCGCATCGGCCGTCTTCAAGACTTTCGTCGCCACCTCCATCGCGCTTGGCGCCCCGGAGTACCGCTCTGCAGGCGATGCTCCGGCGCCGCCGGTGGTCGACGCGGCGGAGAGGTCGGCAGCTCGCTCCTGGCTGCTCGAGCCAAAGCCGTCGGTGAGCGGCTCGCAGCGGTACACCTCACGCCAGCTACCTTTGGCTATTGAGGAATGAGAAGCCGGCAGCTCGTGACTAAATACATAATAGGTACCCGCACGCCAGCTACCCCGGGCTCGAGGCGGACGTGGCCTCGCCGGACGTCGCGACGTCGTGCATCACCGCGCCGGTCGAGACGGAGGCGGCCAAGGCGGGCGGCGTCCGGGTGGTTGCTACGAGTATCACCTAATGAACGCGAGGAGTGATTGATGAGTATGCAATAGGCGGGCGGCGTCCGGGTGGTTGGGCAGTCGCTTCCGCACCTGGCGGGCGCGAGGCACACCAGCGGCTCGGCCGAGTACACCGACGACGCGCCGCTGCCGCCGGGGGGGCTGCACGCGGCTCTCGTGACCGCGCAGCAGGCGCCCGCGACGATCGAGTCCGTCGACACGGCCGAGGCCGCCCGCCTGTTACATATTCATTACTCAAACAGTACGAGGGTTCAGCACTTTCGTCGTCAGTAGGCCGCCGCATCGGCCGGTGTCGTCCGGATTCTGACGGCGGCCGACGTGCCTGCGGCGGGCAGCAACGCGATGGGGCCGATCAAGCAGGACGAGCTCCTGTTCGCGGAGGGCTCGACAGACCACGTCGGCCAGGTGATCGCGGTCGTCGTCGCGCGCTCTTGCGAGGAGGCGCGCCTCGCCAGCGGCCTATCAGTAATCATGTTGATTGTTCTTGATGGTGATGGGTAATTGGCGCACATAAGGCGCGCCTCGCCAGCGACCTCGTCCGCGTGGCGTATGGCCCGCCTGCTGCCGGGGTGACTCCGTGCTACACGATCGAGGACGCGATCGCCGCGAACTCCTTCTTTGACGAGGAGGGCGGCTAGACACTCCCTAGACACTTCCTAGACACTCCTCCTTCTTTGACGAGGAGGGCCCTTCTTTGACGAGGAGGGCCCCCCCCTCGTCTCGGCCGCGCGATGCGCGCAGGTGCCACCTCGGCTGCCTCTCGGCCGTAGGAGGGCTTCTTCGACTCGCGGCACGAGCTCGAGCACGGCGTGCCCGTCGGCCAAGCGCTGCTCGCGGGAGGGCTGACGGTCGTGGAGGGCGACTTCAAGATTGGCGGGCAGGAGCACCTCTACCTCGAGGGGCAGTATTGACTGATCTAAGGCAAGTCATTAGTCTACTGTGTCAGGAGCATTTCTACCTCGAGGGGCACTGCTCCTTGTGCACCCCGACGGAGGAGGGAGGGCTGCACATCCTGGCCTCGACGCAGGCGCGCGAGATCTCCTGAGATCTCCCGAGACCACCCAAGATCACGCGAGATCACGCGAGATCACCCGAGATCACCCCGAGATCACCCCGAGATTCCACGAAAGGTTGCGCGTTCTGGCTTCGGCGCAGGCGCTCGAGAACCTGCAGAAGAGCGTCGCCAAGGCGTGTGGTCTGCCGCTCAACAAGGTCGTCGCCAAGGTGAAGCGGCTGGGCGGCGGCTTTGGCGGCAAGGAGACGCGGGTCGCCTTTGCGCACTGCGCGTGCGCGTTGGCCGCCCACCTGATGAGGCGGCCCGCCCGCCCCATGCCAAACCTCGGCTATTCTCGGCCATCATCTCGGCCACATCTCGGAGCAGGCGGCCCGTCCGCCTCTCGCTGCGCCGCGACCTCGACATGCTCGCCAGCGGCGGCCGCCACCCGTACCTGGCCACGTACAAGGCGGCAGCACGCGTCGACCCGGAGACGGAGGAGCCGAAGCTTGCCGCGCTCGACGTGCAGGTGTGCTACTGCGCCCGCTGCGCACGCCCCCTTCCCTCGCCCCTCTCCAACTCCTCCTCCTCACCACCCCCTCCCCATCTCCACTCCCTCTCCTCTCACCACTCCTTCCCCCCTTGCAACCCCCGCCCAACAACCCTCTAGTTCTACAGCAATGGCGGCGCGTCGCTAGACGTCTCCTCGGCGGTGATGGACCGCTCTCTCACGCACCTCGACAACTGCTACTTCTGGCCCAGCTACCGCGCGAGGGGCGTGGTGTGCCGGACACACATGCCGTCCAACACGGCATTCCGCGGCTTCGGCTCGCCACAGGCTATGCTGGTTTGCGAGCACATCCTCGAGCACCTCGCGAGCGCGATGGGCGTCAGCGCAGACCGCCTGCGCGCTGCTAACTTGTACGCGGTGGGCGACGAGATGCCGTTCGGCCAGACGCTCGCAGAGGACGAGTGGCGGGTGCCGCGCGCGATGGCGACGCTCCGTAAGGACGCGGACGTCGACGCTCGCGCGGCTGCGGTGGCGGGCTTCAACGCGCAGAATCGGTGGAGGAAGCGAGGCCTCGCGTTCGTGCCGACGAAGTATGGCATCAACTTCTACGCGCGCTTCATGAACCAGGGCGGCGCGCTCGTGCGCTTGAAGTTTGTGTTTGCGAGATGTCGTATCATGCTGTACTATGCATAGGCGGCGCGCTCGTGCACGTCTACACAGACGGCACGGTGCTCATCTCGCACGGCGGCTGCGAGATGGGGCAGGGCCTGCACACAAAGGTGTGCCAGGTGGCGGCGCGCGCCTTCGGAATACCGCTCTCGGCGTGCCACGTCGCCGACACGGCGACGGACAAGGTGGCGAACTCCATCACCAGCGCCGGCTCGCTCTCGACGGACCTGTACGGCATGGCGACCCTCGACGCGTGCCGGCAGATCCTGCGGCGCCTCAAGCCGCTCCGCGAGGCGGTTGGCGCCAAGGCCAGCCTCGCCGAGCTCGCCACCGCCGCGTACTTCTCGCGCATCGACCTCAGCGCACACGGCTACTTCGCGCTGGACGAGCGCCGGTGCGGCTTCGACTTTCGGGCGCCGCCCGGCGTCAAGCCGGACGGCACGCCCGACCAGGCGGCGCGGGGCCTCTGCCACAACTACTTCACGCAGGGCGTCGGCTGCGTCGAGGTTGAGATCGACGTGCTCACCGGCGACCACGAGGTGCGGCATGCCACGTGAGGACGTAGATGATGACTGTGTCACAATGATCATCGTTACACACTGGCGGCCACGAGGTGCGGCGCGCCGACCTGCTCGTCGACGTCGGCTCGTCCATCAACCCCGCGCTCGACATCGGGCAGGTCGAGGGCGGCTTCACCCAGGGCATGGGCTGGACGACCACCGAGGAGCTCCTCTGGGGCGACGACACGCACGGGTGGGTGCAGCCTCGCGGCGGGCTCCACCTTCGCGGGCCCGGCACGTGCAAGACATTCTTGTTTAACCATCAACCCATACATCATAGGCGGGCTCCACTCGCGCGGGCCCGGCACGTACAAGCTGCCGAGCTTCAACGATACGCCGCGCGAGCTGCACGTGCGCCTCATGTCGGGCGTCGACAACAAGGTCGCCGTCCACTCGTCCAAGGCGGTGGGCGAGCCCCCCTTCTTCCTCGGCGCGGTCACCTTCCTCGCGATCCGCAACGCGGCCCGCCGCCTGCTCGAGCAAAGGATGAGCCTCCCCAGAACCTTCCCTGAACCTTCTCGGAACTTCCCTGTAGGTCGCCGCCGCGCGCGCAGACCACGTGGCAGGCCCCTCCACGGCACCCCTCACGCTCTTCGCGCCGGCGACTAGCGAGCGCATCCGCATGGCGTGCGGCGACAAGTACGCACGGATGGCCAGCAGCAACGAGGCTGGCGATGTGATGGCAGTGAGAGGCTCCTTCTGAGCTTCTGAAGGGAAGTGTTACGTCGAGCTCGCGGCGGCCGCACGGCCGCATATTGTTAGTTACGTGGCCGTGCACTCAATAGAGAGCTTAGAACACCGTGGTTGCTTGCGATTCGGCGCTTGGGGGCTGGCTCGTCTGCGTGTACGCTGGAGGTGTGCTATTTGAGGTTGTGTAGATTTGTCGTTTACTGTGGAATCTCCATGGAGTCCCTCGTGGTAAAAGGGGGTGCAACGCGGGCCCTCACAGCGAGAGAGGGCGCGAGATGCTGTAAACTCGGCCTCTGCGCCAACACCCGAGAGGATGGCTGAGTGCCAACGCAACTGCAGATGACGACGTGTGGCATCAATGGTGGCCTTTGGACATCCCAACCATCACACAAGACAGCCTGTAGGTGATGGCCGGACGGCGCAGTGTTTGTGGCACTCGGCAGTAGGCACCCGCGGCACGGCCCCGCTGTCGGCTCTCGCGGGCTGCGGAACCGGCCCCAGAAGGGGACGGTCCGGGCGAGTGTGGCAGCTCCTGCGCTAGTATGGGCACCCTCTATCACTTGAGCAGCGTGGGCGGACATCTTGCCGACCATCGTGGAACGCGCGCCCAAGACTCGCGTTGCAACAAACGATAGTATCTACGTTCCCCTCGTCTCGCGCGTGATCGCGAAGCGCAGCACGCACGCGCTGAAGTCGCGTGCCGCGATGCCGTTCGTGTTTCCTGCCGAGTCGAGATGGTTCCGCTCGTGCATCTCGTAGAGCGAGACGACGAGGAGCGCCGCCCGCGTGCGCGCCGCCGCGGGGAAGAGCGAGTGGCTTGCCGGCGACCACGGCGCCGCCGCCCGCCGGATCAGCGCCGCCACCTCGCCCTCGCCGCCCGCGGCGCGCTGCAGCGGCGTCGGCTCGCCCTCGTGCAGGCTTGCGCCGCTGCGCAGCAGGGAGAGAGCGCGGGCGGCGGTGAGGCTCTCAAGGTGCGCGAGCGGCGTCCAGCCGCGGCTGGCGACCAGCCAGGCGGCGAGGTCGGCGTGGCCGCGGCGGTTCGCAACCTCCTCGGGCGTGCCGAAGGGCGTAGCGGCGCGGGAGGCGCCGTAGGAGGAGAGGAGCTTGGCGACCTCGAGGTGGCCGGTCTCGCATACCAAGGACAGCGGCGTGCCGCCATCCTCCTTGGCTTGGTCCATCGCCGCGCCGGCCTCGAGAAGCAGCCGGACGATGTCGACGTGGCCCTTCTCGCACGCCATGCACAGCGGCGTGGCGCCGTCCTCCTCGGCTTGGTTGACCGCCGCGCTTCCCTCGAGAAGCAGCTTGGCGACCTCAAGGTGCCCCTTCTGGCACGCGATGTACAGCGGCGTGAAGCCTTCAGAATCTGCTTGGTTCACCGCGGCGCCGGCGGCGATCATCAGCCGGACGCACTCAAGGTGGCCATGCTGGCACGCAACGAACAGCGGCGTGTAGCCTTCAGCGTCAGCTTGGTCGATCGCCGCGCCAGCCTCGAGAAGCAGCTGGGCGCACTCGAGGTGGCCCTGCCAGCACGCGACGAGCAGTGGCGTGACGCCGTCGCGCGCAGCTTGGTTGATCGCCGCGCCAGCCTCGAGGAGCAGCCGGGCGATCTCGAGGTGGCCCTTCTGGCACGCGATGTACAGCGGCGTGAAGCCCTCGTCACGGGCTTGGTCGACTGCCGCGCTGGCCTCGAGGAGCAGCCGGGCGCACTCGAGGTGGCCCTGCCAGCACGCGGCGCACAGCGGCGTGGCGCCTTGGGTCTGGGCTTGGTTGACCGCTGCGCTAGCCTCGAGGAGCAGCCGGGCGACCTCGGGGTGGCCGTTCTGGCACGCGATGAGCAGCGCCGACGCGCCGCCGCTGCTACCACCGCCGCCGCCCGTCGTCGCCCCGACGCTCGCGCCAGCTTCGAGCAGCAGCCGCACCGCCTCGGCCTGCCCGTGCCGAGCCGCCCAGGTCAGCAGCGTGTCCTGCTTCTCGGTGTCGAGCCGCGCGTTGAGACTGCCGCGCGTCCGCCGGCCGGAGAGGTGGGCGTGCAGCGAGGCGAGGTCGGCGGCGGCGATGTCGGCGAGCAGCGTGGCGGGCGGGCTCGCGGCGGGCGCCATCACCGAGTCGAGACGCGGCGGCTACGTCAGAGAGGGCGGTGTGTCGCACGGCGCCCGCCAGCGGACGGCTCTCTCGTTTGCGCACGGGCGTCGAGGCGGACGCGCGCTTGGGCGGCGTCCTTGGGCGGCCCGCGCGCCGACGACGACCCGGCGCAGCCGCTGAGATCTGTGCGGCTCGAGAGCCCCGGTCGGAGGGCGGACCACCAGACTGCCGGGCTTTTCGGGCGAAAAAAGAAAAGGCGGGCGCCTTCTCTCATCACGCGCCCTAAAATCCCTGTGTGGTGGCGGCGTGCCGTCCTCCCGTCCCTCCCTTGACGTCTCTGTTTTCTTTCTTTCTTGGAACGGAGAGCAAACTCCTGGCAGCTCCCACAGTCGAAATGTGCGCCAGCTCCCCGCTCACCTGTGTCCCGCCGCCGCGCACGCACCTCGCTATGTGCTCGCGCGAGCTCCCGTCCGAGCCTCCGGCTTGGTGTATATATTGTAGAGACCAACCATGTCCACAATATCTCTCAGTCTAGCTAAGCCAGGGGAGGCGATGCCGGGGCCGTACAGCAGCTTGATGGTGCTTCGCCGGCGTGCGTCCCGGAGCAGTGCCGGACGGGCGGTCCGGGGGAGACTCAGGACGACGCCTCTCTGGTTCGACTTTTAACTTCAAACAAAGCCTACCGCACACGCCGCGACACAGCGCGGTAGGCACTCGGGATTTTGTCAGATCGGCGTGTTCACGCCGCGATCATGTCCTGAGTAACCTGCCCAACCATTCGCGGCGACGAGTAATCGAGAAGAGAAACACGGAACAGACAGAGAAACACGCTGTTCGCGATGTTCGAAGACTTCTGACGGTTGGTGTGTTTAGAAAGGAGAAAAAGAAAATTTTCAGTGAGATCGCCGAGATGGCACGCTCTTCATCAAGGTCGCCGATTGACACGCGCTCCAAGGCACGCGCTTTCGAGTGAGTCGCTGTACCCCGGCTTCTCCGTCCTTGCAGGGCTCGAGATGACACGCCGAGAGAAGCCCAGAGAGCGACCGGGAGACCGCTGACATCGCCGAGAGACCGCTGACATCAGCTGCGCTCGGCAAGCTTGCTCGCCGCACGCGCGACGTCCGGCGCCGCGACTCACCGCCGGCCCTGCCTGTGCTTGCAGAAGCTCCAGCTTTGCCGACGAGATGTGCGACGTGGAGGATGTCCTTGCCGGCTGCGATCTCACAGAGATCGCAGAGCAGTACGAGTCCGGCGCGTGCTGCCGCTCTGACGTCGACTACGGATACGGCTTTACTTGTTTCGTCCCGATCCTGATGATGCTGCTCTTCTCCGTCCTCTCGCGGAACCCGCCACTGTCGATGGGAACGGCCATCTGGATTGGCTGGTGCATCAAGGCGCCGCCCACATCTCACCATGCCCAACTTCACCGCTCGCCTAGCACATCACCCAAGATCACGCCCTCTCACCGCCGGTCGCCGCCGCTCTAATCACAACAGGAGGGCAACGCGTGGGCCGGCTTCCGCGGCTTCTTCGACACTGCCCTGAGTGCCGCCATCGATGGGTACTCCCAAATCTTCGTCTTCGTCTTCCTGATGCAGATGATTGTGGGCGCGGGACACCGCTCCGGGGGCTTCCAGGCGCTCGCCCTCCCCTCGCCACCGGCCGCGAGCCCGCCACCGCCTCTCTCGACGCCACCTTTGCCACGTCCAGGCGCTTGCCGACCTCATGTCTAAGGGCATCAAGGACTCCTTCATGTGCCAGTTCTTCACCTGGCTCTTCGGATTCGTGATCTTCTTCGACGACTGTGCGTTGGCCGCCCCGGGCCCCACGACCCGACCGCCCATCGCACGTCTCACCAGGCTAGGGCGCTAGTCCATGAGACCAGCCCCCCAAAAAAGGATCGCCTGGCCCCTCCTCCCCGCAGACGCCAACACGCAGGTCGTCGGCGCGTGCATGCTCTCGGTGGCACAAAAGATGCGCGTCTCCAAGGAGAAGCTTGCCTTCACGGTCGACTGCACCGCCGCGCCGGTCGCGTCCCTTCTGCTCGTCTCGACGTGGATCGCCTGTGCGCTCCGGCCGCTCTCCCGAGACGAGACAGAGCTCCCTCGGCACCCCCGAGAACGAGACTCAGCTCCCTCACCCGAGCGCCGCCCTCCCACCGCTCACAGACGAACTACAGCAGATCGGAGACGCCCTGGCACTGACGACCCCGCCGTACACGAGTGCGACCGCAACAGACGTCTTCCTGAAATCGGTTCGGAGCGCGCGGCGTCCCGTCATGCGAAACGCGTCCTCCCCGTGACTGCCGCTCGCTTGCTCACAGGTGCCTTACCGCTTCTACTCGTGGTTCATGCTCTTCTTTGTGGTCATCATGGCCATCTCGGGCCGCGACTGGGGACCAATGTACTTCGCCGAGCTGAAGGCGCGCAAGGAGGGCTGGGAAGAGAACAAGCTGGTCGCGACCGGACCGTCGGACTCGATCGAGCCCGTCAAGGCGAAGGCCGGCATCCCCAAGGGCCGCTGGTGGAACGGCGCTATCGTGCCCGTACTCTTCCTGGCCACTATCCTCCCCTTCCTCGAATACAGCGGCGACGAACTCGACGCGATGGAAGGCAAAGCAGACGCGGCCGCCGATCCCAACGTCACCTGGTCTGGGGTGCTCAACCCCGCCCCCCCCCCACCCCCCGCCGCCCTTC